AAAAAAAAAAAAGAAAATTTTTTTTCTTACCAATGTTACTGAGTAAATCAAGATCATTTGACCATGAAAATTGGAATGTATCACGAAGTGTTGATAAATGTTTCATCATATAGTTACGCATTTGAGTTTTTAGTTCATTTCTAAATAAATAAAAGGACTATTTATATTTCAGTGTTTTTTGGAATATAATCAGTCCGAAGTAAAATACTGAGAGAAGAATTTCACTTTTAGTTACGAGCAGATTTTCATCTTATAGAGACTTATTCGAAGTTATAAAACGATATTATATGATATCCGAAAGTTAAAAATTTCCATGCGTTTAGATAAAATCCAGGAAGAAATTGTGCTACTTCAATTTAGTTTAGAGCATACGGTAGAACTTCATTGATCTACTTTGAATACGTGAGAAAGTGGAAGCAACCTATCAATACATAGAAGACAATCGGACAAATATTGTATAAGCAAATAGAACGATCAAAAATAAAAGTTCATATCGAAGGTCAAAAATTATAGATAGTGAATATATTTAAAAATACTTGCGATTTATATGGACAAGCAGAATGTTACTGAAATCTATGATTGATTCATGCCTCAAAAAAATCGAGAATGTATTGATCACAATGGAATGAATGAGAAGAGACAGAAGAATTTCAGTCCCTGTCTTGAGGTAATATTTTTTTGTTTTGTATATATCTTCTCACATCTTGCATGGATCTTCCCCTTCTATCTGTTCTTCCCAAAGGTACAGCGAGAAGCACTGAATAGTTGCCATTAGAATAGTACACACTGATGCCGATTTGTATCGCCAGATGATCTATTTACAGTAACATAAGAGTATTCATTGGAGGTTTACGTACGGTGAAATGTTAAAAAGAAGAATTTGGAGAATATCTACAAATCGAACTCAGAATGTTCACTCTTTCTCCAGGATATACTTTATTGGGATGACTTTAGAAGGACTTGCTAAGATATGTCTTATGGCAGAACAAAGTAAGTTAATAAAGAGACACGAAACGCTCTTGATAAAATGAATTAATTTTGTACAATAGTGAATTCCTTATCACATATCCTCCTCTCATGCTTCATCTATATTCCAACTATGATAAAGTAAGTGATAAGAAGAGCCTCAACAATGACAATTAGTATCATATGCACCTTATCTCACTCTACTTCTCAACTCTTCATATGTAAGCGCTCCAGAGTGTTGCATAAACAATACAAAGAAAAATCTAAAAAAAATTGATCTACCTTAGAATGTTATTATGATCCGTCTATGACAGATTCTTATCCAAGATGAAAAAAAAACAGGCTGCGTGAACTCTCATGTACACTTATCTTCTTAAAATAGTTACATAAAACTCAAGTCTCACATCATATTCATGATACTCTATGATGAATTACTTTTCAACAATATTTATAAAACTCTGTTCTGATTAGCCTGAACTTCCCCAAATGAGTGAAAGCTGCCATCAATATTTTTTTGACAACAGAAGACAGTATCCTTGAGAGGCCTAAACTTTGACCGAACGAATTTTCGATCCGACTGTTCGGCTCAGACCCAAATTCCTCTCATTAGTTTCTATTAGAACCTCAAATCCTATGAAAATTTCGTACAATCCGTAGTGCTTAGCGGTATGCATCTTCATCAAAACATAGTGCTGAGTAGGACGACATAGTGTTTAGCAGTATTCATTTTCATTAAAATGTATTTATCAATAGCACGCATTTAGATCAAATCACAGTTCTAGGATTCTATTCAGCAAGATGGCATAATGTTAAGAGGTATGAATTTAGACTACACTATAGTTATTGCATACAAGTAGTAATTATCTCAAAAGACCAAACGATTTCTAATAGGAATCAAAGCAGACTGCTTAGTGTTATGTTGTCCTGCTAAGCACTACGGATTGTACCAATTTTTTATAGGACTCTTGGGTTCTTTTTAGCAAAATTTATGAGAAGAATTCGGGTCTGGGACCGAAATTCGTGTAATCTGTACACTTTCCTAATCTCCGTCCTGGCCGCGCCCCCTCTGGTAGTTCCAGTAGAGTTTCCATTAAATCAATCAATCATTATTGTTGATGAAAATTTGTATGAATATCGTCCGAGAAATATTTGAAACACTATGTATAGTTTAGATTTCCTGTAAAACATTTTCTTTCTACTGTATATGAATAAATCTAGATAGTTTTATGTTAGTATATATGAATCAAGTAGATAATATAATAAAACCTTTTTTGTTTTTGAGCAAATATTTCGTGTTGATCTTTAAATCCATAAATAATAAGAATTTTTTTTGTCACAATTAAATCATGTATATTTCCTGATGAAACTTGTGGAAATGTAGCAACTTTTTCTTTAATTATAAATTGTTCTAAATTATTATTATAATCATTGGGTTTATATAAATAAAATCCTTCTGTTTTTATAGCAAATATTTGTGATTTAGCATCTGTCTTATATTTTGAAAAATATGTTTGTTGTATAATTGAAGCATTTGTTGCATAGAAATACGTTTGACTTAATAATTGATTAACAATATTTTTATATTGATTAAATAAATTATCATCATCATCATCATGATTTGTTGTAACATACATAAAGAAAGCATCATGTTGACGACGTATTTCATTAAATTTTCCTATAGATGGAATCCAACGTAAAGCAGGTCCATTAACACGTCGTAAAAAATCTAAAACAGCTGATTTTGATCTTTCATTTTCATAAGAAAATATTTGTGAACCACGAATAAATTTTATTGTTGGATAACCGCGTACATCATAACGATTAGCAACATCAGTATAAACAGTAGCATCGACACGTACAATACGAATATTTTTAAATTCATCAATACTTGTCGATAAATCATAGACTTCTTTTGCTATATCTTCATAAATAGGTTCAAATTTTCGACAATGTCCACACCTAAGATAAAACGTTATTCTTAAATAGAGATTAAATATTCAATATTTCGAATTTTTACAACGATAGATATCTAAGTTTATTTTCTCACGATTTTCTAAAAATTTCAGTATTCTATTCGATATCAAACGAAGAAACTTTCGATACAAACTTTGTGTCTTCACTCTTTTCAGAGTTACCTGGGACCTTCCTCAACTGCTCATTTCCGATTTCAATGAAGAAAGCTAAGAGGATTTTGGTTCCTATTGAGATTTGACTAAGCTACTGAGTTCTTTTTTCCAAATGGTCCAGGTTTTTGGGAAAACTCGTATTTTCGAATTTTGACCTGAAATTTTGCATATATAGAGAACTTGACTCGACTAGGTTCCATGAAAAATTTCATAGGTTTTGAATAAAATATCTTCCAGATATGGAACTTTCAAGATTTAGATCCTTTTCAATGGATAGTGTATACATCATGCATTTTTTTTGAAAGCTTCATATTTCGAAGAGGCTTTGTTCAAAACTTATGAATATTTTTATGGAAGTTAATCTAATTGAGTTCTCTATATGCGTAAAGTTTTAAATAAAAATTCGATAGTTTAGTCAAACCTCTATAGGAACCCAAATTCTTTCAGAATTTTTATTAGAACACTATGTAGTATCTATGGGCAAAATATCATTGAAATCAGAAAGTAACAGCTGAGGTGGTTCCCTCGTTAGTTAAAACATGTTATATACTAATAAATCATATGTGGTGAAAGTGACTGAGGGACTCTTAGAAAAGAGACCATAGACAAGGCTGAAGATTACAAATTGACATATCGCTTTAACATTCATTTTTTTAAATTAGTAACCGATATTGGCACGATTAGAAAACAACCTATAGATATTCTATTTGGAATTATGTTCATTTCAATAAACGTGTTATACAGTGATGACTAGGTGGAAAATAGAAATATTCGTTGAGATACCCATGGAATAAAGTCTCCATTGAGAATGACGTGACTCTTTGATCCCATCATTTTCTTTCATGATCTTCAACTATTACTCATTCCATCGTCTACTCATAATCTAAATAGAATTTCTGTTTCTGTAGAATTTGTAGTAAGATTTGAAGCGACAACATTGTTCGAACTTTCTTGTCACATTATTAATGATAGAATGTGTTACACATGCTCACTTCTTTCATTCAAGTAATAACACATATTGAAGACGTCATCTTTCTGTTTTCTTTCTATGTTGTTATCAATGTTTCTCTCCATTGCTTTACTTCTCGTCTGTCGTTAATTCTTCTATTCACCTTTTACATCTATTTTCTCCTCAACGATGTATTTTTTGCATTTCCTTGACATATATATTCATGTTCTTCCAAGTTGTGAAGTGACATTTCGCTTTTCTTTCTTCCTTCCTTCCTTTGAAATTTCTTGGTATCTCCAACATTTACAACTAATCAATGATTAATAAAATTACTAACAGATAAAAAAATACTAATAATTAACTTTTCTTCAGTGTCAGCCATATGAAAATAAATCTAAAGGATTTAGTTGAATATAAACAGTGGGATACTGATTGTAAAGTAAGAAATGTAATAAGAACTATAAGTAATAATTTTTATTTCTTTTTCTCAAGTTACGAATAATAATTATGTTCATTTATTACTTATTTCAAATAATCGTCATGTAGAAACTCTAGTCTGTTATATCTTTCCTAGCGTGAAACTACATCTCTCCATCAGTGTAGATAATCATTTTATATGTATTGACTTGTGCGATATCTCATTTGTGAAACGAAGAAACATATGATATGAATATTTCAATATAAAATATCAATACATCGAAGAAAAATCATTTTGTACAAGAAATATAAAGAATAGAAAAACAAACCATGGTGCATGAAATTGAATTAAATAAGCAATGGACGGATTTTGTTTAATTTCGTCGACAATTTTCGAATCAACATCACGTACCCATTTAGCATTAATACAAATAAAACATTGTACAAGAAATATCACAAACCAAAATAATTTCATTATGTATTCTCAACTAGAACAAAATCTATAGACAAAAAAAAAAGACAAAAAATCTCTGTTTTTCTTAAATAGCAAAAAAAAAGAAAAAGAAAAAGAAAGTTTTTATTTAACAATTACACAAATAACATCATTACAATAAATTTTTATTTTTTAAGTTTTGCATCTACAATACTTTTAAATTGTGTCATTAATGCTTTTTCTTTATTCGAACGTGCTTCATGATTAAATGTAGCTAATGCACGTTTTTCATCAGCACTATAAATTTGATTTTCTTTTCTTAAACGTACAGCTTCCATACGTCGATGTCGACTACCAGACATAACAAAACCAAGTTCTTCAAATTGTTGAATTTCTTCCGATTGTAAACCAATTTCACCACGACGTGGTATACGTTTTCCTTCAGCAACAAATCTTGCCATAGCTTCACCTTCACCAGGTAAAAGTGCTTTACCAAAATCTAATGGTTTATCTGTTCCTAATGGATTTGTTGAAGAATTTGATTGTTGTTGTGATAAATGTTCAGGTAATTTCGGACCAATAAAATCTTGTTCATCATTTTGTTGTTTTTGTAAATTATTAATATTTATGGTTGTTGTTGTTGATGATGATGATTTTTTTGTTTTTGTTTCAATCCATTTTGGTTCTGATTCATTGTCAGATAATGATGATGAAGATGATGAAGATGACGAATGTCTTCTTCGTTTCTTTTTTGATTTTTTCTTCTTATCTTTTTTTTTATGTGATTTTTTCTTTTTTTCAATTTTTTCATCCATTTCTTCATCGATTCCTACTGGTGAACTTGGCCATAGACCACGTATACCAAATTCAGCTATACGTATACGTTCTTCACGACGTGCTTCAAATTGACGTCGATCAATATTTGGTGTTGAATACGAACGTGATGATGATGATGATGGAAAAGGAATACTATCGACATCAATTTTTTCTCGTTTTATTCCATTTGATGGACCTTCTGGTAATTGAGAAAAAAATCTACTGTGTTTTTGAAGTATTTGATCAGTATTATCGCTTGATAAACGACGATGTTTAGGTGATGGTGTTAATGAACGAGAAGAAGATGATGATGATGATGAATGAGAATGTTTACGATGATGACGACTAGGTCGATCACGTGCCATCTAAAATAAATACTAATTAAATTTAGAAGACATGATATTTTCAATAGTAGAAATCAGAATGAAACATAATTGAAAAAAGAATTGTCTTAAAATTTCTAAAATATTTTTTCTTACACATAGATAATCCTAATTGAAGTTCTTCAATACTAAATTACGTAAAAAGAAACGAACTTCTAAAGTAATAAGAAAAACTTTTCGGAATACTAGTGCAGTTTTAATACCTCCTCCTTCTCATTATTATTGATGTGCGTAATAGACTGATTGAATGTAATCGTATATTAAGCTACACTACTACTTTGAAAGGAAATTATACGATTAAACATATAATAATTAGAATAACATGTTATTTATAATGATATGTATGTAAACTAAATTAGTTTGCGATAATTTTTGAAGTGTAAATGAAGTTTTGAAAATAAAACCTGCCCTTGGCTTAAACAGAATAAACCGGGAAATGACTGTTGTGAAGAAATAAAAAATAAAGAAAATAATAAATTGCTTCATCTTTTTCTTATTGGTTAATAGATAAGAATAATGAGTCAATAGATGACGCTGAATTCATAGGGATATTAATTTTTTTACATCACATGATTATTTTTACACTAGAATGAAAATGAAAATATGCACCTATATATCAAAACATGAAGAATTTTAAGCTCGACAAAATTGTGTAATGCAGTTTTACAAAGAACTTTTTTTTTTATTTCGAAACAAGCAACACATTAAAGTACACTTTATATGCGTACTGCGGAACTAAAAGCAAAAGAACAGTGTGACATCACTATTGAGAAATTCATATAAACACTCAGGACACAACAAATGAAAAAAAAAACATAATTTTATATCTATTTTGGAGCCTGCTCGATTTTTTGTAAATTTTGGCGAAAACATGTCGCATTACATTCACCTGCCACGTAATCTTGTGTTTGAAAAATTGTCCCAAAATCACTATGAAGGATGTTTTCAATTTCCCAGTAAAGCTTAGATATACGAAGGGTAGAACAGCCAAATAGTAGAGGGCAAAATTCTCTATCTTTTGTTACAAAATACTTTTGTTTTCGTAATCCTTCATACTTTTGCAAAGTATGAGCAGCGATGTGTCGCAGTAGGAATATATATAGTATAGAAATGTTTGGATCGTTGTGCAAAGATAAAATGTTCTTTTTAAAAGTGAAGTTCTTAGTTTTGGAAAGCTTGCAATTCTTTATCCTTTGGTATATAAATGAATATTTTATAGGAATTTAAATGAGAGAAAAATTACATTTACATTTAGTCCGATTCATTATAATCTACCCATTCGAATTCATACCCTCGTTAATTGACAATAATGTCCCACACGAATACGACCTTTTTTACAACCGACCCGGATCGGAGCTAATCAACATCCGGCAGATAGTTTCGAATTTTTATTATATATGAAGAAGTATACTAGTTAGTTTTTTCTACAGATAGCAACAAAAAAAAGAGATTATCTCAAGTTGCCAAACATAATAATTGTGGATACATACATGAATGCTTTTTTTCTTCACGATAATATATATTCACCGTTTGCATAATTCATTTTCTTTTCTATATATTCAATTATTTTATCATATGTTATCATTTGTAGATGAATTTTCATTCAAAATAAATTCTTCTAGTAAAATAATATCGCTTTTCAGTTCTTTGATCTGTTCTCAAGTACAAGAAATTGCTCAATCATGATCGAACCAGTTTCCATTCCTATGCTTTTGTATATACATAAGGGTGTTGGCTTAGCATTAGTATTAGGAAAATGCTAATACTTCTGCATTAGGTTAAAAATTTAACTTAATACTCTTGTGTTAGAATTAAAAAATTAATTTAATACTTTGGCATTAGTATTACAAAAGTATTAGTCTAATATCAATGCTTATAGTTCTCGAAAACAGAACAGTTTTGCTCTTTTATTGGGAACAGCTTCTCATAGCGAAATAAGTGTTCTGTTTTTGGGAACTGTAAGCGTTGATATTAGACTAATACTTTTGTAATACTAATGCCAAACTATTAAATTAATTTTTGTAATTCTAACACAAGAGGGTTAAGTTAATTTTTTAATTCTAATACAAAAGTATTAAAATTTGTATTAATTAATGCGATGCTAATGCTAAGTCGACGGCCCTATATAAACAAGCAGTCCGGAAAAGCAAAAATATGTTGAAATGTCGAGATCTTATTAATGACTGGATTGAGACTAGGTATGAGATCATATCCGAGACTCGAACAAACATTGTTTTTTCATGTTTCGAGCCCCAATACCTGACCCGATTATAGGATACTAATCAATAAGTATGATTCTGTTATATTAACATCAACATATTGATTTAACTCTTATTTATTGATTTTAATTGTAAAAGTAGTTTATTGTAATCGACACTAACGCAACAACAATAATCATGAATAAAGAAAAACATAAGTACGTATAAGGAAAACAATGACAAAATAAATATATATTGAGTAAGTAGGTAAATATGGCACTTAGAAAGAAAAAAAAAAGAAAATTCCCGTCACCATGTTTAAAGTAAGTATGATTATTTTATTTTAAAAGAGCTTCAGTAACAACATCTGCATTAAGTGTTTTAAGATCTTGATATTTTTGTCCAATACCAACAAAAACAATCGGTTTATCCGTTGTATAAGTCATTGATATAGCTGCGCCAACTTTATCATCAATTGTATCAAATTTAGTTAAAACAATTCCATCAATAACACGTGGACTACTATGTAAACGTGCATTATCAATAAGTGCTTGATTAAATTTTGTTACTTGATCAACAGCTTCATTTCCAACTAATGCTTCACCAACAAATAAAACTAAATCAGGATTATTCACATGAATTAACTAGAAATAAAAATCAAAAAAAAAAAAAACAATCAATTAATTTATAAGAAAAATAAAAATTTTAAAAATTACTTTAGCTAATGCAATCATTAATGGTTCATCATTTTGCATTCGACCAGCTGTATCAATTAAAACAACATCAAATTTTTTATCTTTAGCTAAAAAAAGAAAATAAAATAATCAAAAAAAAAAAAACATCCATTTCTAGACTGAAAAATCTCTTAAAATTTTTTACCATAATTAATTGCTTCTGCAGCAATACCAGCTGCATCTTTTCCATATCCACGTTGATATAATTCAATCATAGGCATATTTTTTTCATTGAATATATTATTTAAATGACGTACATGTGTTAATAATTGTTCAATTGCACCAGCACGAAATGTATCACAACCAGCTATTAAAACTCGTAAATCATTTCCACTAAGCCAATAAGCAACCTAAAAAAAAGAGAATTTTTTTTTCTTTTGATTGATTTCAAAAAAAAATACCAATAAATTACTTTAGCTAAATTTGTTGATTTTCCAACACCATTAACACCACAAAATGTAATAGCATAAGGACGGCGTGCTTGTTGTGCATCAACAACATCACGAAGAATATCAATACGTCGTTTAGGTGTTAAAATCATAACTAATGTATCTCGCATAGCTTGACGAATATTTGTTGTAAGACTTTCAAATGAACCTAATGTTTTTCCAGCTAATTTAGTTGAAACAGATTCACAAATTTTTTCAGCTACATCTGCTGCAACATTTTTTGCAATTAAATGTTCACGCATTGCTTCAATGCCTGTACGTAAATCATCAGCCGTTAATGTTTTTGATGCAAAAACATTAACTTTTTTTAATTTTGACCAAAAACCATCGACTAAACCAGATGTAATACTAGGTGATCTGTAATAATAGATTTGAAAAAAAAATGTTTATTTCTAATATATAAATAAAAATAGACATACTCGACAGTCATAGTTTTTAAATCTCCCTGTTCAGGTCGATCAGCTATTGGAGTAGTAATAGTTGTTTGACCATTACCCTTTAAAAAAGAAAATGTGATTTAATGTTATTTTGATACAATACAAATACAAACATGAAATATTTGTTCTTTTTAGACTTATTGGAAAGATGAATGAAAAGTTATGGGTTATGACTAAAATTTTGTGCTCTTTCCGAATATAGGCTCACAAATTTTGTATATATTGTTTGAACGGAATGGTTAGGCCGATGTTTCTGAGTAATCTTGGACTTATTTTTGGTCTCTTTAACAGTATTCTAGGTGTGATACTAATTGTGAATCAAGATTAGAATTTTATGTTCTTGTCGAAGATGAACTCAGAAATTTTGAATCTATTTTTTTATACTATAGTAATGAGAGAATTAGAAGCCGACTCCTGCGTCTAGTTTTTTTGTATTCTTGTGTCGATTTTTTGCAATATGTAGTCAAATAAATTATATGATCAAAAGGTACAAACATTTTATAAAGAGGTAATGAGGTAACGAAGGAAAAAATTACGGTTAGAAAACAAAATATTCTCCCTATTTCGATCTCTGAAGAGAATCTTGCAACATCTTGATAAAGTGACTGAGTAACGAAATAAACAGACATTTGCTCAACATTTAATTCTTGTTCCTATTCTCAGTATTATTGTTATGAAAAGCTTGACTTGCTAATGATACTAACCACTTTTTCTCCACCTTTGTCTTTTGAATAATCGATCGTACTGATATCAATTTTGCTGGCATTTGATGTAGCTAGAACTTTTCTTGGTTTACCTTTCTCTGGTTTAGGTGAAGCTTTACTGAAAATATTCAAATAAATAAATTTTCGATTATTAACGAACATTATATTTTTCGTACGTTACTGGAGCCTTTGTAAATAGTCCTGGTTTTTTACCCATTGCTGATAATTTTTCAGCTACTGTAAGTGTTGGTTGTTGAACTTCTTCTAAAGGAAGACATTCTTTTTCACCTTGATTAACTAACGATTCGTCTTTCGTTTCTTCAATCGGTTTTTCTTCATCATTATTTATTTCTTCTTTTTCTTGTTCTTCTTGTTCTTCTTCATCTAGTTCTTCCTTTTGAACAGCATTTATTGTTTGTTTGTTTGATGTTGCCATTTGTTTAGGTTTTTTCTTTTTTTTTTCATCTGTTGTTACATCACCTTTTTTAGTTACTATCTTAACTGTTTTCTGTTTTTTATCAGACTCTTCATAAGAACGTGGTGCACGTTTTACTTTTTTTGCATCTTCATCTTCTTGTTCAATATCAGAAAGAACTTTATTATATGTAACGCGAAATGGAAACGATCGATTGAAACCACCTATTTAAAATAAAAACAATAAGTAATGAAGGACAAAAGTTTAGAGTGGTTGTATTTTTATTTTTGATCGTAATAGCTAGAAAAGATCTGAAAAAATATTTGTATAGCTGAAAGGATTCTCTATTAGGGTTGGTAGATCCGAAGACTTCAGAAAGCCAGCTTTCTGGCTTCAATTTGAAGCTTTTAGAGAAAAGATTTTATTTGATAGAACAAATAATTCTGAATAAGATGAGACATCTCTAATCTCTCCATGAGCTTCCTTAATCGAACTGCATTCAATTTATAGAAGACCCTCAAAGCGTCAAACATGGAAAAAACATTGAAATTTTCAATAAAAAGAAAAATGCTTCTCAGGCCTTCTGTAACTTGAATATAGTTCGATGAAGGAAGGTCATGAAGAGATCGAAGATGTCTCGCTGTGCTCAGAATTATTTTCTCTATCCAATAAAACCTTTTCGCAAAAGTTTCGAATGAAAACCAGAAAACTAATTTTCTACAGACCTTCACCCAAGCAGTTTCGTTGGCATCTTTGGATCTGCCAATCCTAATTAAGAATCCTTTCAACTACAAAAATATCGGTTTTTCTCAGATTCTTGCTAGTTATTATCATCATAAAGAAAACTAAAAAATAAAATTACTGTAAACTTATATCTGCCACTATACAATAAATAAATCTTACCAATTGTTAGATCATCTTTATATAGATCACGAAAACGTTTCTGTATTTCATTCAAAAACTTATCGGCATACGATATATTTAATGTTTTTTGATAACCCAGCTAAAAAATGAATTATTTAAAAACGATAAATTATATCATATACATATATATATTTATATATATATGTACATACAATAAAAACAAGCTCGAATTCATTATCCAATTTATAATGAATATGATGAGGACTTAATGGTGCAACCCATTTTTGTGCACTACCTTGACCCTAATGAATAACAAAACAAAAAAACAAAAAAATAAGACACAAAAAATATTTTTCATTTACTTGTAAGACAGCTTTGTCAATAGCATTGTTAACAATTTTAATAAATTGAGTAGCTGTTGATGGTACACACCAAAGTACAAGTCCACCTTTAGTAAGAATGTAGAAAAAATCCAACATTTTGAAAAGAGATATGTAGCTCGAAAATAAAGAAATAAGATCTGAAAATAAGGAAGAATATAAATGCATATCATAATACTACTTTGAATTTGTGTAAAAGATTATCATCAGTCAATCAGACTCATTATCAAACAGGAAAGATAGAGTAGAACTTAACTTTGAGCAAAAGAAAAAGAAATTTGTTTCTATTTAAAAGTCATTTTTTATGTGTCATAGGTTGACTGACATAATGGTAATATTAAAAGTGCTTGTTGAACCATTTCATTCAAAGCAAGTAAAGGATCAGCAGGTAAAGGTACATATAAATAATCAAAATAATCAATAAAATGCTGTCCTACAGATAAACCATCAAATAAAACTGTTGATAAGGCATAATTATATTTGAAAAAATGAAATCGTGAATATATATCATATAACCAGCCGGTATGAATAGAACTACGTTCAAGATGTATTGATTCATTATTTAATATATAAAGTGTTAAACTAACTTGTGTAAAATTAAAATCAAAAAGAAATACATTAATAGATGCATAATAATGAGATGCTAATGGAAGAAAACGAGATTTTATCTGTTCTAAATGTGTATGATTAGATGTATGAATACATAAATCAAGAAATGGTGGTTGATCAATTGTAAATGAAGGATAATTTGGTAGAAAAAATCGAAATTGTGAATAATTACTATGTAATAAGGAAGAATAAGCATGAAAACGTGCATATATATAAAGTGAACGTTGACAGATCATATAATGATCATCTTCAAGTAGATGTAATAATTCATAAAGTTGACTATAATTAGATATATTTTTTCGATAGACTTGATCTCCAATAATAACATTTTCTCGAATAAAATTATCTTTTAATCGAATATTTTCAAAATCATGTTCATTATCATAAATACGAACAAATTTTATATTAATACATTGTCGATTATTTGATAAAAATGGATCAATAAAATAATGATTTTGTATAGAAATAGTAAATAGATGACCAAATAATAATAAAATAAAATATAGAAGAAATGTTATTGCATAACTTTGAACAAGTATCTGAGTTGAATGTCTTGAGAATTCTATTAATGATCGTCGACGAAAATAACATGATGAAATATTACCAAAACAATAAAATATATTTTGTAATGGTAATTCAATATATTTATATAAATATTCTAATGAAGTATCAATACTAAATATTAATTCATGTATTATTGGTGATATTATCGTTTGAGAACATGATATCATATGTTGTCTATTCATAATGAAACATGATCTAAAAAAAAAATTAGAAAAAAAAGAAAACTCAAGAGAAATAAAACAAAACATGGTTTATTTATTCCATTTTGAATGTATATCTGTTTTAAGTCTTTCAATAGCATCCATGGAAATAATTAAAGCTGGATGAATAGGCTTTAAATTTTCATGTTTCATTAATGATAAACTAGCTAAACTTAAATAGGAATGTAATGGATCAGCTGTTGAATCAGGCCATTTACTAAATCCACCAGTTATTTTTGATTCAGTTGCATGTAAAAAATTTTGATTTTCATTCATACTTATTAAAAAATCTTTATTAAGTAATTTTAATGTTGCACCAATCCACCATGAATAACAAGAATCATCAGGTTTATTTGGTCGACCATTAAAACCTTCATTTTGTCTTTGTAAACACCAACGTATAAGATCATTTTGATGATCTAAATCATTTAAACGATCCATTAATGATAATGCAGCTATAGCACAAAATGTTGAACCACCATGTGCTTCAGCACCAGGTACTTGTCCAAATGCATATTCATATGTTCGACATTGAAGAATAAAATTTGTACATAAATCTTTATTTATACCAGACCAATCATTTAAAATAAATGCAACAACACATGCACAATAAACAAAACGTAAATCATTTTCTGTTGATAAACATGTAGCTAAAAAAGCACCATTTGGTAATTGAAGATGAATAAGTGATGATGCAATTTTATGACGTTGAACATTTTCAAAATTATCACCTAATAATAAAAGTGATAAAAGTGCTGTCATTGTCATTGTTATATGTGTATGATCATAAGGATTTGGTATTGTTCGTGATGTAACTGCACATGATGAACCACGAAAACCACATACACTAGAATCTGTTATTAATTGTAATTGATAAAACCATGAAATTAGTTCAGTTGATTCATATGGTAATGATATAGGTAATGAATGAAGTAAATCAAGGCCAGCTAAACTATAAAATGCAACTGCTACACGGCTATTGTCTAATGAACTTGTATGAGAAGGTAATACCGTTAAACATCGTGAAAAATATTTACTATGTAAAGAAAATTTAAAATCATCATCCAAATTTGCTGACTTTGTTTCATCATTCGTTGATGTCATTAGATTTCGAAATAAATACATATGTCGATAATATTGAAAAAGAAAAAGAAAATATATAGGTAACAGAAAAAAATAACCAAAATAAAAAACACGTAGGAATGTATATCGTATTGGTTCCCTGAGTGGATGAACACGTCATTGATTCGTTATTACATCATCAGATTATCCATTCAATAGATGACGCTTAAGTACAGTTACTTTTTCTTTTCTTAGGTTTTCTAATGTCAAATTATTCAAAGAGAACTATTAAAGATATGAATTTATACTAAAATAAGAATATTCAGACATGTTAAATATTGTCTTGATCAAAATCTGATTAAGGTTGAAACAAAAATTTTTGAGATTTGTATCTATTCTATATACTTATCAAAGGTCCGCGAAGTAGCTGAATAACCAGTTCATCATCGTTCCATCCAGCCTTTTTCTTAAAATACTCGTCCCACCTCGTCAAGGACTTAGCATAGAAATGGATGGTTTTTTTTATGCATTTATTCAATCACATGCAACAATTACTATTTCTTCTATTTCATAAGATCAAACAGAGTACACTTAAATACGTATAAATAGATTCAAAAAATAAAATACAAAAATATTTAATGAGAGCGAAATGAGACCATCAAACCAACAGCATTAAACTGGCGTTTGACATTAGCTATGGTTACTGGAATTGAATGAAATGATCAAGCAAATTTGGTAAGACAAAATAAATGAATCGTAAGAAGATTGGAGGCAGTATAACTCGGTGATTTGTGGATTTCTGATGCTTATCAGTTTGTTTATGGGAGACTCATCAGAGAACAATGGTCACATCTAAAAAATTATTAGTGGTATACGCACGGTTGAAAACATGTTTTTCTTTTATAATAATAAGATATTGCAATCTATTACTACACACCAATACAAGATGCTGGCCCGCCTATGAGTTTGTTTTTTATTGACTTTTAACTATACTTCTTGATTATGTTATTATTTTATGATAAAAACTAGTGATTTAAAAAGCTAGTCAAACTTGTAACCAAAACAAAAATGTATACATGAATGCTTTTATTCATCTGATTGATCAAATTTTAATATTTCATTGACGATTCATCACATAACAAAAAAAGTGTACAATTATAAAATGTTGCTTAACGTTTAATATTTCATAATATAGACAAAAACTAAATTTCAATAATTGAACTAATTTATAAAATTTCAAAAACTCTAGATAGAATGAGTATTTCTCTTCTTAATATCCGTTCAATATAAACCTCTTAGAGAAGAAATATATTCATTATCATAATTCTTATTTGAATATAATGTTATAACATCATAAATAATTATTAATACTATCATAAAAATGATCAAATGATATTCTGTTTAAGAAAAATAGAATTTTCTTTTGATATTTACTAGTTACTAACATGACAACAAAAAACTAGTTTATCTAACAATTTCAAAAAAAAAAATGAATCAAAAACTAAAGAAATTTTCTCAAATCAATTTACCATATATAGAAGAAATAAAATCAAAATCGCAAAAACTAGATTTATTACACAATACAATAAATACTATGATTGTTTCATCTGATCGTTTTCTCAAGACTGATACTAAATTAAAAAAACCGATCCAACAAAAATCAATCTATTCTTATGTAAAAAAGCGAAATTTACAACCATTACTAGATCAATCAATCCAGCACAATTCATCTACTGATAAACTTTTATTAAATATGAACTCACAAAAGCTAAAGACACAGGTCAATAGTCATTTAAGATTTGATACTATATTAAAAAATTCATTAGGAATGTATTGTTTTTTTCTAAGTTTTTTCTTTAGTTTCATTCAACTATTTCCAATGATCGTATGCCTATTGCATCACGTCTAATCACTTCTCCACTTCTAAAAACTCTAGCAAATGATGAACATTCTATTTTCTCTATTTCAACTATGAACTTTTCTATTGATTTAGAACAAATATCTATCAAAGACAAATTTCAGTATGATTCTCAAAGAGATTCACAAATTCAGGAATTTCCTTATCGAAAAGATCGAATAACTCGTTCAATCACATCATCAGTTTCAACATCAAAAAATTCACATGATGAACCCTCGTTAGCTTTTGATACATTAATAATTGGTAAATTATACATTCTCAATGACATATATCCATCGATTGAAACTGAACATATGAACGGAATTCCATTAGCTTTTCTTGGTGCAGAAAAATTATTACGTACTCGTATCGATTGGAGTAAAGTTCAATATCCATTATCATCCAATCATATTGAAATAATCATTGATCTTCTTATTGTACGACCTTCATTTATCAGAGAAATACCTAAAGTAACTACATTTAATCTTTATCGACCATTGATTAAAACAGTGTCAGGGTATGAAAAAAAACAAGCCTAAACTAATCCAATAAAAAATAAAAAACTTGATTTGTTATTCTTCTTAGTCATTTATTTTTTGATCATGGAGAAAATAAAGCTGGAATACATCAATGTGGTCGAAAACCAATCAATCGTAAATTTGTCATTCGTGATTTAGCTTCTATTCATCAACGTGAATTTCATATAATTAATTACAATGCAAAATATGAACAACGTTTTATTAATTTATATGAAAATCTTTTTCAAATTTATAATTATCAAACGAAATATCAACACAGTGAAAAACATATCTGATAAAAACAAAATGTCCAATCAATAAATTAGTTGGAATATCTGATATGTCATCAGATAATGCTAAAAAACTCTCAATCAAACGTTTCCTCGCCTAACATCGATTGAAGTTTCAATACATAAAATGAAGTATTTATTCTAGGAAAAGCGTGAATAGTCAACAACCATCTGATACTTTAAGTTCAATAACTAAAAAAAGGCAAAACAAAAAAATTATAGACTATAACTCAAAATTGAACAAAACATCATTAGATTAAATTTTTAATTATATTAATTATTCGTACAGTCAGCAACAAAAGTTTAAGTAAATTTGTTTTTTTCAATTTTTTTACATTTGTTTTTTCGAATGTTCTTTCACATTGATGAGAACGAATCTGATTCAAATGTTAATACGGATAGTATGAGAAACCAGCTATATGATGTATTATAGGGCGAAACTCTGTTTGTCTATATAGATTTTTCATAATTAAAATAATTTTTTCCACGCAACAATAGAATTAAGTGCTTTCCATTTATTTCATTTTAGTGTAAATCTCTTGGTTGCGAAATGCTAGAAAACACTTAAATCTATTTTTTGAGTAGAAAGAAGTATTTTAATTATGAAAAATCTATATAGACATGCCGAGCCCCCTCCTATAATACATCATGTAACTAACCTCTCATACTATCTATATCACCATTTGAATCAGGTACGTACCCTTCAATGTGAAAGAAAGCTTGAAAAAAAACAAATTCACTTAAACTTTTGTCGCTGACTGCCGTTCATATATTTATAGCCAGACGTTATTTATCAACAATATCTGTCACAGTCTGCGATGAAGGAGAGGCGTTGCTAACAGTGTTTGTCATATCTATGATGAGCCATTTCTAACTTATCTTTGACAGTCTGTCGGCCTAGTCTGTCATGGCTGCTGATGGTGTGAGTGTAGATCTGCTCTTTCTCTGCATTCATCCACACTCACCTACACTCATCTAAAAATTGAATACATTTACGCCTGAATCACTAGTAGTGAAAGAATTCAAAAAAATAACAAAATATGTCGTAAAACTCGAAAAAATAAAAATAATCATGCAGAATTAGGTAGATGGTGGTTTAAAAAAGTATGTTTCAGACAGTCGCACACATGCACAAAAAGTCAATTGATTGTCGTTCTGCAGAATCTACGCTATTCACTTTAGTTAATCAGTCTAATAGAGGGCATACTGTTGTTTTGATCGTTGATATGATACTTGTTGAGTCTGTAAATCATGTGTTTAACAGTAAAAAAGGTATTAGTATGATATAAAAAAGACACAGATTGTTTAATGAGAAAGAGACATAAAATTTAAAAAATTATTGAAGAAACAATGCTAAACATGTCTTCAACAGAATTTTTGCATTTTTCATGTGATAAGTAGTGAAAGCAATGTCAACCAATCTGTCATTATTGAAATCATCAACAGCGATCGGATCCCGTGCAGAATTATAACCTGTTGAATATGCGATTTCGAAAGAAAATGTGCCGTTTCCATGTTCGAGAGAAATACTAACATTATTAGTACTGTTATTGCCTACGTCAATATCCAATATTCTGTCATTATTCAAATCAGCAACACCGACTGACAGGGGATTGGTGACAGAACCAGTTGAAAACATCGTGAAATTAGAAAAAGTTCTATTTTTGTAACCAAGAAAAACGATTAAACTGTTGGTATTATGAGGTACAACGACGATATCTAATCGAGAATCGTTGTTAAAATCACCAATGGCAACCGATGATGGATAAGAATTAGACCCAGTTGAATATGTCGTTTGATTCGCAAAAGTTCTATTAGCATAACCAAGAAAAACACCTATATTGTTTGTTCCAGCATTAGCGACAGCGATATACAATAGACTATCGTAGTTGATATCACCGACAGCCACGAAATATGGACTTGAATCATAGCTGGTAAAATATGTAGTTTGATTTGCAAACATTGCATTTCCGTATCCTAAGAGAACACTTACATTATCACCGTTACGATTAGCAACAACGATATCTAATTGAGTATCATCATTGAAATTGCCAACAGCAATTGCAAATGAAGAAAAAAGGGATCCAGTTGCATAAATGTTTATACTAGTAAAAGGTGAACTGTTATGTCCAAGAACAATAAACGTATTATGATATTCACTTATAAGGACATTGTTTTTCATATACATCTTCTAACATATAGTACGCAGTTACAGCAAATCAAGTAAATACAGAATAACGAAATAATAGCAAGAAATACACTTGTATGCACTATCTGCAGTTTCAGCAGAAGTCTTAGATCATTTGAGCAGTAGTAAATGTAAAAAATTATTCTCTTTCGAACTGTACATAAGATATTTTTGCCAAAAAGTGTCTCACATACATAGGTGACGCTATTTATTGCCGTCTGTCTCTTACCACAATGGAAGAGAATGCAAAAGATTCTCAATGAAAAGTTTCTATTAGTTTAAATAAGCCATTATTTCATCCCTGACGCTACTCACCAACGATGATCTTAGAAATGCGATCTTGACCCTAGAAATAAGTTACTCTCCCAAATGCATTTCTTGCTATTGATTCGATGAATCGTCAGACTCTGACGTTGTACTAATAGAAGAAGATCATTCTGGATTTTCTTTTTCTCTTCTTATTGTATAAATTCTCTGTTTTTAATCAATAAACTGTTCATTGATTTCGTTTGACTCAAAAAGCACATCCTATCTAACCGAGCGATGTATGACTCATTCCCTATGTTACTCTGACACTAATTAGATCTCCATATATTTTTTTCTTTCTTCTTTCTCTTTTCATCAAGACGCGTCAAGAGAAAAACAAGAAAACGTCAAAACAAGTTTTCTCTTATATTTTGCGCATGCAATCATGGCAATATTTCTTGTTTTGGTCGCTATTCTACTTTTAATACTTATTGTTTACATCAAATTAAAATTCTTTACTCTATATGGTCCCTTGCCTGGAAAATCACCTCATTTTTTATTTGGAAATCTCATACAAATGGGTTTCCTCCGCGGAGTTCCACCAAATACTGCCACCTTGACAATGCAAGCTGAATTTGGTGATGTCTATCAATATTGGATTGGACCTTTGCGAGTGATCGGTGTATGTAATGTTGAAGATATACAATATATCTTTGCTCATCGACACATTTATGAAAAAAGTTCTTCACACATGGATCGCCTTCGTGTTTTCCTTCCCGATTCACTCGTATCCACTACTGGTGAATAATAGATGATGATATAATTAGAAACTTTGATTATGCGTAAAAATTGTCTGAGTTACTTCAAAGAAAAGTATATTTTGAAAGACAAGAATTAGAGGCAAGCATAATTCTCGTTAGTGAAAAAGTTTCAGCGATACCAGTAATTTCTTGAGAATATTAGATGATTCAAAATTCTTTCATCAAAGGTTTATTCAGATAAGATTTTAGTGAAGACGTTCAGAAATATGAATTCAAAAATATTCACACAAATTTGATCTTCACAAATCATTTTGTCAAAGATTTGAACAGTAATGAATCCTTGTGATGACTTCATATCGATAAATTATCCCTAAATTGTAACTAATTCTCTATACTTTCGATGTTTTGAAATTGTCTATATGAAAAACACAGTCGCATTATTTTATTGATTTTTATTATAGGAGCCAACTATAAGCGTCATGCAACTATTGTTCTTTCTCTATTTCGTGGCGCTAAAGTCTTGAGTAATTTGCATCTAATCTATGACTGTACAGACAAGTTGCTCGATGTATGGCGTTCGCAAGCAGATGATCCCAGCTATATTCATCTCGATATGGTCAAAGATTGTCAAAATTTATTACTAGATATATTTGGTTTTATTGGCTTTGATTATGATCTACAAACATTAGGCAATGATGATAGTAGCCAAAGTAATAGACTCAAAAAGTCTTTAAAAGACTATTTGGATGTTATTGCACTGGCACTACTCTTACCAGTGACAATCGCCAAAATCTACGTAAAATTTAATTCTCGATATCGCCAAGCATTGAATGTTATCCGTGAGTATACGGATCGAATAATTGAGCAAGAGCAAAGTAAGGGATCAGAAACAATTCTTGAACGAAAAAGAAAATGTCTTATTGCATCACTTGTTGGTTCACGGCAGCAAGATGAAAAGATTGAATTAGCATTACCAGAAGAAAAACGAAAAGGTAAGTGAATATTTAAAGGTTTTTCACATAGCACTATTTTCTTCATATTGAAAAATGATCTCCATATCCTATATTCTCGTTCAGGACTGTCTTCCAAAGAAATTTTTGAAGAAATACTGCTTTTTCTTGTGGCCGGTTCTGAAACGACATCGACCGCATTGTCATGGTTCATTCATCTCACAAGTAAAAATCCGCGTGTTCAAGCAAAAATCAAAGCCGAATTAGGCGACAATCGACAACACTATCTGTCTATTGAACAGCTCGACTCTCTTGAATACTTAGATTGTGTTATTCAAGAAGTGCTTCGGTTTGTTCCACCTGCCATTTCCACAATTCGCAGTGTTACTAGCGATGATCGATTACCAGCCAGCGGAGCTCAATTATATAAAGACGATGAAGTAATAATTAATATTTACAATTTAACTCGAGATAAACGCTACTGGAAGATTGATCCGGATTTGTTCTATCCTGAACGATTTCAAGGTGAAGACAAAGATCATCATCCATTTACATTGATTCCATTTGGTGGTGGTCATCGACAATGTATCGGACAAGACTTAGCTCGATTCGAGCTGAAAGCAATCATAGCCAGACTAATGCAACGTGTCACTTTTGGTGATGGTGGCCCACAAGTCAATGCAGGGGGATACAACCAGAAAATTACACTCATGCCCAAAAATGTTGGTATTACCATAACTTTCGACTGATATTCAATATTCTTGAGAAAATTATAGTACTAATATTTGAACAGCATATTTGTAATCTCATCTAATATCTTCTATAAAGCTTAAGCCCATATTTGCTACTTGCCGTTTCAAATAAATATATGTATTCTAGTGTTACAGTAATGTCGCACGTATACATATTCACTATTTTGTTTTATCCTCTATCTTCTTTCATCTATCTTTAATCTTTAATTGGTCTCTCTTTTTTTCATTCTCGTTCTTTATATATATATATTCATCTGCACCATATTCGTAGTTAGTGTAAGATTATGGTTTCTTCCCCTGTAAAAAAAGAATAAACAGAAACATCAACAGATACATGATTTTAATCGATTTCAGCCGTAATTAATTGATGAAAATCAGGCAATTGTGATGTTTTTTGATTAAATGAAAAATTATAATCGATTTTTCTGCATAATTAATTAGAAATCGTTAGTTTTGAACCGATTATAATCGTTTCCTTGACTGGAATTAATTAAAATCGATCTATAGCGAGTATAATCGATTATTTTTGATTTTTTATTAATCAATTAAAATCAATTTTTAGCAGTAATCAATTTTCATCAGTAGTTGATGATTTTTTTTTCGATTTAAATCAAGCAATATTGATTATAATTCAGCGTAATTGATTAGATTTTCTAATCGATTATAATCATCGGGATAAGAATCATCTAAAATTAAGTCATGCTGATTATAATCCACCAGAATCGATTAGTTTTTCAAATCAATTACAATTATTAGCTGAGGTGGACCATTTATCTTAACTTAAAATTTAGTTTAGTCTTATTACCTCACACTCAATATTAAGTTCAACTTACGAAATGCTTAACTCACTTAAAATTAGGTTTGAGTGGTTGATTTACGCAAAATTCACTCAAGTTCGAGCTTTTTATTACTGCTAAATGGGCATACCATGCTATTGTTCAACCATACAAAAGAGGACCGCTGATAAGCCCTGATCGATGCTGAACAGCAATAGATTTTGTTTCTATAACAGACGGAAAAATCGTAATTGAAACCTGCTCGGTTGATGAGTCTTTTCTATCGATCTATCAGATTCGAGAAAACTGCTTTCACAGTTATTGTAAGAACAAAAGCTAATGTTGTTCGGAGCCGATCATGGTTATCAAGAGGTCCTTGTTATGTGATCCGAACAATAGCACGGTGCGTTCCTTTAGGATAATGGAAAACTTGAAATTAAATGCTATTTGCTTAACGCAATCACTTAAACTTTATATTAACCATTAAATTTGTTATTAATACTTAATTTTTAAAATAAAGTTTTAAGTAAAAAAACTTAAACCTCATATTAAGTGTTAAGTAATAAAACTTAACTTAATCTCAAGTTAACAGTCCATCCGTAGTCATAGGGATACAAGGTTTGACGAGAGAACATTTTCAGGTGCTAAAAAGCTTTTGAGATCAAAATTTGTCCATCAATACGACACATCTACATCAGAAAAGACCTAAAAGGATAGGGGCACAAGTTACAATTTGGCCGAGATATTAATATTGTTGTATGATTCTTTTATGAGAACCCTACTTTTCCGATATAATTCAAGTTTCCAATTTTCACCAGAAATTTTATCCACATCAAGACCTCAATCAAACTAGCTTATCTGCAATGTTTTTCACTTTTGGATAACTTATCTCCCAGATATTAGATTGTTATCATGAAGACGCATTTTTTGTGGATATTGCGTTATGCATAAATATTTTGGAAAATTCATATTTTGGCGATAAGTTATCCAAAGATTTTAAAACTTTGTAGAGAAGCTATTTTAATTGAAGTCTTGATGATGACAAAGTTTCTCGTAAAATTCGAAACTTTGATATTATCGGAAAAGTAGGGTTTTGCTGCGCAGTTACATTACATTGTCGATATCTCAGCCGGAGTGTAACTTGTACTCATGTCTTTTTAAGCTTTTTCTGCTGCATAATATGTGCCCTACGGGTATACAGACTTTGAGCTCAAAAGCGTTTTAGTACTTAAGAAACTTCCTTGTAAGAGAATAAGTGTTAGGTTATAGGTGTAATGATATACTCTTAAGGGCATAGTCATAAAGGTATAGGTATATGGATATAGGTGTAAGGATATAGATATACGAGTATGGGTATAAGGATATAAGTATAAGGATATAGACTTAAGGATATAGTCATAAGGGTATAGGTAAGATGCAGGAAGTTCAAAATTTAAGCAGAAGGTTTTTTTGTTTTATGTGTATAGAGTTCAACGAGTTACATAGGAAAAATATCATGTTAGAGGTTTGAAAGTTGGTTTTCGCTGGAGAAAGTTCAAAATAATGAATTTTTCAAAAACATGCAAAATGAATGAAGTTTTAAGTGTTATGCCAAATCCTCATGTTTATTGATGTTTCAAATTCCAAAAGTAATCTTTTGTAATTCCGCATGTAAAACTGTATATAAAACACTAGATTATCCGTTCTTATGATCTAAAATGAGCGGTGTTCCCTCAAAACATGAGTAGAACCCTTAAAGGGCTTTCTGTGTACATTGCCAACTTATCAAGTACTTTTGCATAAATGATGAAAAAGTTATTTTTAGTGGATTGCAGTTAGTATATCAATTGAAAAAAGTTGCGCACCTGTTTAAAATAATAATGATACATTGTTTGGAAAATCAAGTTTTTTTTATATCAGTGGTACAATAATTAAGAATGAGCTCATGTTTGGACATTTTGATCATCAAAATTTTGTTTTCAAATAAAATGCATATGATATTTGAAACCAGTATGAAAAGCTGAATTGAATAGCATAGATTTTATTACAAAATATTTTTTATCGAAATTTGATCCGAGCGGGCACTCCGATGAAATCACTTCGAATAAGTCATAGAAGAAATAGGGATAGAATTTCGATGGAAAATATTTTGTAATAAAATCTATGTAATTCGATTCAGTTTTTTATGTTGGTTTTGAATATCACATGAGCTTTATTTGAAAACAGAATTTTGATGATCGAAATGTCCACACATGAGCTCATTCTTAATTATTTTGAATTTTTTTCAGTGAAAATCAGCTTTCAAACGCCTGACATAGTATTTTTCCTATGCAACTCGATGAGTTCTATTCACATAAAACAAAGACAACAAAAATAAATTTCTGCCTTAATTTTGAATTAGCCTCACCCGACAAGGTCAGAGGTATAAGTGTATAGGTATAAGGATATAGCCACACACGTATAGGTATAAGGGTATAGTCATACAGGCATAGGTATAAGAATATAGTCTTAAAAATATAGCTGTAGGAATATAATTACACGGTATCGGCATAAGGATTTGGCCATTGAGGTACTAACATTCCGATCTAGTTCGTAGGCTATAGTTATTACAGTGTAACAACAACGTAGGTGGATTTGTAATAATTACTGTGAATTTTAATCGATTATAATCATACACGTTTAATCGATTATTAATCGATTAGGATTTGATTAAAATCAGCCTTAATCAATTTTAATCGAGTAATATAGTAGAATAACTGTTTCTGCAGTTATAATCGATTATGGATAATTATAATCGGTCTTTAATCGATGACGAATCGATTTTAATCTGATTTTTTTCCTATTTTTTTTACATGGGTTATTGTGAATCTTTAGAATGAATCTGTGTGCACATGGATATAGATGTTCTCTTCGCTGAAAAAAGGGTGTGGGGTGTCGCGGGTGGATGTGATTAAAGAGATTCCACACCCACTTGAGTGTACATAGTCGGCCGCCTATGCATACCGGAGTGTACATAGGCACTTCCCTATTTCTAATATAAAAGACATTGAAAAAACTTCGTAGCTATTTAAATACTTATTCGCTATTTATTTAAGATCAGGTGTTGGCAAATATCTTCATGAATAACTGTTTAATGCGAAGCACTATTTAATGATTTACAACACTAGTAAATAAATATTTATTATTATTAAAATGAGAGTGAGGTATTTATTTAATGTTATTTATTATTTTAGAGCAAGTGGGAAGGATGAAAAATGAAAATATCTTCATAGTGGTCAGCCATTTATTCTGCAGCATTATTTAAAGACTTTCGGCACTGATTGATCAATCTTTATAGCTGTTTAAATAGATAGTAGTTATTTGTTTATGTTGAGTGTTTTGATAAACAACTATTGCATGTAATACATTAGTTAACAATGTTTAGTATTATTTAAAGTGTGTGCACAGCTATTAGAACAAGATCGCACTATCTCTTATGTGTACATTTCGTAGATTAGATATTTCTAGATTTAGACCTTGATTATGTTGTTTAAAATTTTTTGTTATGTTGTATAGTATGTCGTATTTATTTTGATCAAGTTAAGAACAACTCATAATATTCGATTCTTATCAAATACAGCTGCTAAATGGTTTAAATAGCTACGGTAATGTAGTGAAAGCGTCACATTTTAAATAGCTATAAAGATTTATTTAAATAACTGAATGTCTATTTAAAAAGTATCTCATTTCAGAAGCCACACTTCTCTGCTCCACGTCCATACCTTCTTTTAGGAAAACTATTAAAAATGACTAATCATTTGTAATAAAAACGTTATAAAAATCAAAATTTGATCTCAGATTCAGATTCTGCGCTTATCATTATCTCTGGGCCAAAGTTTTTTTTCGAGAAAATATAGTATACTTTATTGCTGATATAGTGCTCTTTTCTGATTAGTTGGACATACAGACAAATATTTTTGTGTTGTGGCCTCTTCTTTCTTTCAGAAAAAGGAGTAAAGAACAATTTAACATATGGTTATCATGATTTTTTTCACATCGATTCATTTTAACAAGATAAAAAATACATGTGTTTTTTTACAGACAAACCTGATCCGCACCGTTTCCTTTAATAGTCCTTTCAATTTAGAGCATCAAATAGTTCTTCTTAGTTATTCTCAAATATCTTCATTTTTGAGGGGAAATAATGCTTCAAGTTTACACTATTATATTTACGATTATGGTTGCGATCACGCTCAGTGATCCTGCGAAAACCCTTGCTCAACACATCGGGTTCAGTAATAGTGCATCAGTTAAATCGTCACGATCGAATATCCTATCAACAGATGTACCAGTGTTTACAATACCATTACGAACTATTAATATTAATGGAACTGGTTTTGGTAATTCAATAATGAATGTGGGACCAACTCAAACAAGAGAGGATTTAATATTTGCACAGTTTTTAGCCGGAAATGTTCCTGAATTTATGAGAAATGCTATTTCAGTCACAGTAACGGCTGGAAATGATACACTAACGTATTGGGTTCTTCCTGATGTTCTTTCTGTAGGCACAAATACAGATTACTTAAGAACGCCACTCAATCCATTAACAGCAAAAAAAATTGCAGACCTATTTGGTTGTGTTTTGCCAACAAGAAAAATGGCACATCAAATTTGGCAAGCAGCCACAGTTAAACTATCTCCCAGTCCAAACGGTCCACCATACGATGCGACTATGATGTCAACAGAAAGAATGATATTTCATAATAAAAAAATTCAAACTGCACTTGCTAATAAAGTTCCAGGTGAGCTAGTAACGGGCCACAAAAAAGACGTAGTCATTTCCGTTGGACTATTAACTTATCCAAAAAATGTAGCTATTGTGGGATGGTGGTACCCATCAGGACAAATAATTCAACCATTAAATTACGTATCACATGATCGTTATTATAAAGATTATAGTCACGGCATACGACTAATTAATCGTATGGTAACAATAAATGGGCAATGGTATGATATATATGACGTATTACGCAATAAAACACTTGCAACTTTAATAAGTGATGAAGGTCCATTTGATGCCACACAAATGTACACATAAAATATTATAACGAGATGCTGGAAGGTTGTGAGACAAAATGTTACACTTTCTTTTGCTAAAAAAATTTTGAAATAATTGGAATTATCCGACTGATTGCTGAATCTACTGTTCGTGTTTATTCTCGTCTTTATCACTACTTAACACAATAAAGAATGTAGCAAAAGAGAGTGAAAGAATTACTAACTAATATAGACAGGGGAGCAACACTACTACTTTTTACTGAGTTTCTTTAAGACGCAAAAAGCACATAAAAGTATGCGTATTCTTCTTATTTTGTCGCGATATACAGTGAAATGGATACTCATATAACGTCGAGCTCAATAAAAACGTATATATTCAAAAAGTTTCGATTATAGAAACCGTTGTAATAGCAAAAACAAGTAACTAATCAGCTAAATTCACTCAAAGAAAATGTGACAAACGTGATACATGTACTGAAAAAGATTTGATATTGTATGAGATATTTTGTGCCGAGAACGACTCTCACACGACAATGGAATTAATCATGACTACTGCACTCTAAGTTTTGTTTATTGAACTTTAATGTCACAGATATGACTCTTCAGTTAGAAAATATATCACAAGGACAAAAGCATACATTTCAACGCTGCATAAGTACGAGCACATAATATAATGATCGAATATAGGCGACAACGGTACAAGTCTTATAGCCCATGTACTCTCATATACGTTCACGTAGTGATGTACTCATGTACAAATGAATTCTACAGCATCTAGAGTGACGAATGTGGAATCTTCAATATCGGGCAAGTTATATTGTACAACATATGATAAAACAGCAGGATCATTCATGTGTCATGAATGTTCACAGCTTTTGCTTATCATACGTAAATGAACATCGTCGATTGGTCATCAGGCAAATAGATGAAATTGTTCTAGTTCATGATTAATTACAATAAAATCTCAACGAATACGTTAAAGACCCTGTTGTCTCTATCCTCTTATAAAACAAATTGACGAACAGGAATAATAACCAATGAAGAAGACTTGTTGGACACTAGATGATATTCAAAAACATCTATTGAAACACATAAGCAAACATATGGATAGTGTTACAAAGTCTTTATCACTACTGACTCAACAACTGAACAAAGTTCATGATGATGAATTTATTGAGACTGATATCAATGAATGGGAAGAAAAATGGGCACATAGTTCGGTACAATTCGATTAACAATCGATGGAAGAATAGTAATAGAAAAATAAATGATATACAGTATGTTTTTGATAAAAATCAACCATCTTCTCGAAAATTCCGCTCAAACATTTGGTAATAATGTTCATTAAGATAAGAAAAACAATAAAAAAAAGCTAATCAGCGCAAACCCTAAAAAGGGGAAAGTGTGAAACTCACATACAGTCACTCTCAGAATCACAGAACAGATTTCACAGATGCGAAAAATCTCATTAGATATGAATAATAGCTCAAATCGAATGCGTATATATGATTTACTTACTCATTCTTCTCAAATGTTAAATCTAAAATAATGAAAAGCAATTTTTTTTATTTAATTTATTGTAGCCAACAATCGAAACTTACTTCGTAATTTTTTTTTTGTTTCCTCATCAGATGCGACATACTTATTTAATTGTCGATTGACTTGAGTCATAGGAATGTTAAAAAGCATGATCTAGAAAAATTTATTAAATTAGAATTGTGTTAACAGTAAATAAAATTGCTTGTTAACTATAATTAAAACAAAGTTTTCATGTACATAAAGTAAAACCCATTAAACAGGTACGAAAAGAAAAAGAAGTTGATGATCTTTCGATTATTTTTTGAATCGATTATCTGATTCGAAGAAACTTATTTCATCTGAATCATAAATTATCGATTTCGAACTAGATTATAATGAATTCTAATCTAGAAAAGTATCTTTACATATAAGCATTCCTATTATTATACATACAAAGAATTTATTAACAAAATATCTCTACCAAAATATAGCTTATTGAAAAAAAACAATTTGTATTACATTTCATACAAAAGACATTATATTTGACATTTCTTCCTGTTTGTGCATATCATGTAAGTACAGAACTGTCATTATATTTTTCATGGAACAAATTTATAGTAATATTGACTTCCAAGAAGAATTTTTTTTTCAATAGTGTACGTCTATTTTTATTCATGTTGAATGATATTGTAATGTTATTCTTCATTTTCAATAATTCTCGACGTCACTAAAACAATATTAGTAAAACCAAGTCTTGTTTTTCTACAATTTTAAGATGTTATGTTTTCTATTTTTCAAAACTTTTATACAACTAAATGGAATAGAAGTTTGACAAGATCACAAATCTATTTTTAAACTCTACTCTGGAAAATTATATGATGAAATATATTTAAATTCGTCAAAAAATGAATCTGTTAGTGCAAAAAAAAAACCGTATTTTATACCTTCATCATCACATCAAGACAGAAATGATATTCTTCGTTAATTTCAATGAATTATAAATAATATAGAAAAGATTTGAAAACTTCCGCAAGTGATTTTAGACAACAACTATCAATCATGGTTAATAAGTTTCTATGTAATACTCATAAAATGGATATAACATGTAGTTTTCGACAGATATTTGTAGTTCTCAAAACTTTTATGTTAATGAAAAAAATATTATCTTTATTAAAAACTATTTTATCAATTTATGTAACCGTAACATAGCATTAATTTACAGTACTATCGATAAACTACGGTTGATCGGTGGCATTAGTAAAACTGATGATATCATTAAAATAAAAGGATAACATGAGAACTTACTATTTCTTTGGTTATAGATGTCGCTCAATTACGCTGTCAATCAAGAGTAGCATGGTCATTCGTTCACTGACCACAAAACAGTCATTGTGTTGTTATGATAATTATCAATATCAGAGAAAGTTTCGTGTTTTATTTACTAATCATAGTTTATCACTTTCTATGCTCGTTTTAATCTTACTGACTTAATTATGTTTCATTATTTGTCTATATTTTTGTGAGTATTTTTCTCATATCAATCATTAAAAAAGCATTAATAGATATATTTTGAAGTAAAAAAAAATGAAATCAAATATAGAAGAGACATTTATTATCGATAAAAGTATGCTTATTATTTATTTTGAGTAATTTTCTGAATTAAAAAAAAATCTTCATCTTACATCTCTTTTGATGCTTTAGGTCATCCTGTGTGTTCATTATTAAAAGTTTATTTTTACATGATAATAAAACAAACATAGTCTACCATCAAAGAGAAATAAAACACATTAAAACTTGTTTTTTTCTCTTTGTTCCATTGTTAAAGAAAAAAACAGCCTATTTTTTTAATACATTAGAGATAAAAGCTACAAAAAACAAAGTGTGCATCATCTGCCAATACTTTTTCTGGTTATAATGACAGACAATAGAATCATTTCTTTAAAACATAGATAAGATAAGATTGTTTTGCAGAAGTCATGTATATCTATTTTCGAGTATGATTTACAAATACTACATGATCCAAGAAGATTTCATTCAGTAATATTACATCATCAGTTAGATGACTCATCCATCTACTGTATCCAGTAGGGTTTTTTCTTTTTCTTTGATTGAGGCAGTCTATGTTATGGGTGAAACAGTAAAAGTAGTAGTTCTTTCTATTATATTGACAAATATGAGCACAATGTTCTAGATCATTTTGTCTTTTTTTGTTGATACAATCACATTATCATTTATAATATATTGATTATATAACAAAGAAGAATTGTTTTTTATTCATACAATGAAGAAATTGCCATGTTTTAAAAAGAAAAAAGTTGAAGGTTTGTATAATAAATTCTTTTTATTTAGTTATAAAATAAAAAAAAAATCTGGTAACTATATTTCAGAGGATACTAGAAAAATTAAAGCTAATGATCCAACAGCAAATGCAACTAAAGAATATGCTGTAAGTATAATATTTTATTCAAAGAAAAACAAACTGACATCTATTGTTTTTTGTCTTTAGGGAAATGAAATTTCTACATCAAAATATAATTTAATAACATTTTTACCTAAAAATCTTTTCGAACAATTTCGTCGATTAGCTAATGCTTATTTTCTATTTCTTCTTTGTCTACAAGTATATTGTATTATTTTTATATAATTCATAATCTAATTTTATTTTTTTTTAAGCTTATTCCACAAATTAGTTCATTAGCTCCAATTACAACTATATTACCACTTGTATTTGTCTTAGCCTTAACTGCAATCAAAGATGCTAGTGATGATATTGTTCGTAGAGAAAAGAAACAATAGTTCTTTCTTGAATTCCTTAATTTTTATTTTATTTTTTTATAGGCTAGACATCGTAGTGATCGTCAAGTTAATAATCGTGAAATAAAAACAGTTGTTGGAAAAGAATTCGTAACTAGAAAATGGAAAGATATTAATGTTGGTGATATTGTACAATTAACTAATAATCAATTTTTAACTGTAAGAATTTCAAAAAAAAGTTCTGTTTTTAATGAATAACTTTTTTTTTAAAGGCAGATATTGTTCTAATATCAACTAGTGAACCAAATGGACTTTGTTTTATTGAAACAGCTGAATTAGATGGTGAAACAAATCTTAAAGTACGGCAAGCATTAGAAGAAACAGGTGAAATTGGTGAAGATATTGAGAAATTATCAAGTTTTGATGGTAGAAATATATCGGTCTTTTTCTTAATTTTGTTCTTAATCGTTTTTTTTGTTTTTCAAGCTGAAATTGAATATGAAGCACCAAATAATAATCTTAGCCGATTTGAAGGAAATTTAATATGGAATAATAAGACCTTACCTTTAAAAAATGATAATGTTCTATTACGTGGTACACGTTTAAGAAATACCCAATGGGCATTTGGAAGTAAGAAAAAATTTTGTTTGATGATTTTTAAATTATTGAAAACAAAAAAATAATTTTAGTTGTTTGTTATGCTGGTCCAGATACAAAATTAATGAAAAATAGTGGTAAAGCAACATTTAAACGTACACAAATTGATCATTTACTTAATCAAATAATTATTGGTGTATGAAATTTTTATGCTAGTCATTTTGTTTTTAAAAATAAATATTTTTTCTTATATATTTAGATTGTTTGTTTCTTATTAGTTATGTGTGCTATTATGACAATATGTTGTGGATTTTGGGAATCATTTTTTGGTTATGATTATCGTAGATATTTACCATGGGAAAAATATGTATCAAAGGATCAAAAAATTGGTGCACTTGAACAAAGTTTATTAGTTTTTTTATCATATATTATTATATTAAATACTGTTGTACCAATATCACTTTATGTTAGTGTTGAATTTATACGTTTATTACAATCAAAATGGATTGATTGGGATATTCAAATGTTTTATGAACCAAAGAAAGTTCCAGCACAAGCACGTACAACAACATTAAATGAAGAATTAGGACAAGTTGAATATATTTTTTCAGATAAAACAGGAACATTAACACAGGTAATTTATATTTATATATATATATATATATATTGATGAAGGAGATTTTTTTAAAGATTTCATGTTCTAATTCTACTGAGATAATAGAACAGTTTGTTAAGTATAAGATTAGATATTAAGTGTTCGTCTTTATATTCAATTGTTAAAAGATCAAATTAGAGAACTTGTCAGCACAGCCACATTGCGTCTAAAATGTAAAACTCTGACGTGTTCTTTAGCCTCAATATAATAGATAATTGATCGTCAAGGAAACATCTGTCTTATTCATTTCAACATTTCGAACAGGCGTTGTTTTTTAATGGCGTTCTATTGTTTGTTTGTCTTGTTGCTTTGTATTTTTGTATTCGATTTTTCTTAACTTAACATTATTATTATTCTAATTATTGGTTTAATTGATAAATAAGCCACTTGTACATATCCATTACATCTAGAGCAGGTCTCAACGCACTATTATAGATCTGGATAAGCTCATAGACACTGATATTGATTATTTCCAAAAATTATAACTTGATCATATGATGACTGTATCGAATCGATGCATCATCCTTTACATTTTGAATATAAATTTCTATCTGTGCAAAAATTCCAAAGTGTACTAGTCAAAACATGCCAGCCATTTCAATTCGAGGAAGACTTTGGAATGTTGTAGAACAGTCTAAGTCTTGTTATTAATGCAGTTCAACGTCTTTTTTTCATTGCTATGAAAGCGTACTGACCAAGGGACGTCTTTAAATGCTCAATCGCTTTTGAATTCAGACTGAGTGCATAAGGTGGACTCCAATAAGATATGAAGAACTTGAAAAGGATAAATCTATCCACAGTTACAGACATATACCAACAAATCGAATTATGGTATTTCGACTTGAGATTTTGCTCACAAACAGATCTATTTGTCAGTAGAATGCTCTGAAATTATCAGCACAAAAGAATATTTCCTTTCCGATATATTAAAGTCCCAAAAAACAGAAAACTCTAGCATCTTTCATGAAGTATGAATGATTTTTGAGACTTTCATATATCGGTAAAGAAATGTTCTTTTGAGTTGAAATTTTCAAAACATTCTACTGACAAATAGATCTGTCTGGCAAAACTTCAAGTCGAAATATCATCATTCGTTTTGTTTGTATATACTATGCCAAATACTAAAATTCTAGTAAAATGCCTATACCTCTGGAAAGAAGGCCTAAGAGGATTCTATCTTGTGCACTGAGTCCGAATTTAAAAGTGATTAATCAGTTGACAATGTTTCCTCGTCAGTAATCGTTGCTTTCCTCTCTCCCCGATTGTTAGAACCTCAGGAGGAGAGCCACAAAACCCATTAGTGGTTCTGAGATTTTCAAAGAGCTATAATTAAGACATTGAAATAGTTAGTATTAAATTTAAATACAAAATAATCTTGCAAATAGATTTATACTCAAAATTTAAATAATTTATAAGCATTGTAGAATGATTCTTCTGGAATTCCTTTAACAATAAAATAAAATGATTTTCAATGAATCGCACAGGAAATTTGAATTCATTCAATTCAGTAGAAGTTTTACAATAAAAATCTTGAACGAAAAAAAAAGAAAGGCGTTCTTATGATATACAAAGAAGTCATTGTATCATAAGACGAGAAATTGCTTCAAAAACTCAGAATTATATTTCATTATCTTGGTTTCCGCCTATTCAATAATAGAACTATAATTTCATACAAAAATTATCTTTCTATTTTAGAATATAATGACATTTAATAAATGTTCAATACGAGGAAAATTGTATGGTTATGCAACAGATGAAGCTGGAAATGAAATTCAAGATTCCGAAGTAATATCGATTATTTTTCGTCTCTTGTAATGAATTAAATTAATCATTTTTAGAAATTAAAATCAATAGAATTCGAGGAAAAAGATGAAGAATTTCGATGGTATGATGAAAAATTAATTGATGCAATTAAAAATAATGAAGAAGATGAACATAATTTTTTTACACTTCTATCTTTATGTCATACTGTTATGCCTGAAGAAAAAGATGGAAAAATAATTTATCAAGCACAATCACCTGATGAAAATGCACTTGTATCAGCTGCAAGGTCATTTGGTTTTGTATTTGATGTAAAATTTTTGAATTTTTTTTCTTGAAATTATTTCGAGATAATATCAAATAGTTTTTTTTTAATAGAGTCGTACTCAAAATAGTATTACAATTCGTGTACAAGATAAAGAAGAAACATATGATTTACTTAATATACTTGATTTTAATAATGATCGAAAACGAATGTCGGTTAGTATTGAAATATTTGAATTGTTTTGAAAGATTTTGGGAGATTTTTTTTTCTTTATAATAGATTATTGTGAAAAAAGATGGAAAAATTGTTTTGTATTGTAAAGGAGCTGATTCAAAAATAAAAGAACGCTTAGATTCATCAGAAACAGATGTGATGGCTCAAACGGATGAACATTTAAATGTAAATGAAAGTTTTTTTTTTTTTAGTTTGATTTATATTTGTTTGATTATTTTATAGAAATTTGCTTCAGATGGTTTACGTACACTTTGTTTAGCATGGAAAGATTTAGATGAAGGAGAATACAATAAATGGGCTGAAGTATTAAATAAAGCAAAGTAATTTATTGAAAAAGTCGAAAAAAAAATTGGGCGAATAAAAGAAGTAGAGTATAATCTCTCTACACTGGACACTTCGGATTTTTAGGTATCCAAAAAGATTTTTTGAGGATTTGGGAAGATATTATTAGGATTTTAAAAGTTAAGCAATAATGTTGACTTCAGCCTTTTAAGATTTCCAACTAAAAACTAGCCATATTTTAATGTAAATATACTAATTAAAGTTTCAATTTTTTTAAGAAATAAACTAACGAGGGAACCTTTTCAACTGTCCAATCGCTTTTGAGTTCGAACTCAGTTTGAAAGATAGACCCCAGTGAGGTATGAAAAGGCCCAAAAGGATAAGTGCCCATAGGCCTTCCGTCCAGAGTTATAGGCATTTTACTGGATTTTTAGCCTATGGCACAGTATATACCAAAAAATCGAATGACAATATTTCGAGCTGAGATTGTGTCCAAAGATAGGTCTATGTACCAATAGAATGCCCTGAAAATTTCAGCTCAAAAGAATGTTCCAATCTCGAGATATTGAACACCCAAAAGCCAAAAAATTCTAGCATCATTCGCGGGATATGCGTGATTTTTGGGAGTTTAATATCCCGAGATTGAAACATTCTTTTGAGCTGAAATTTTCAGGGCATTCTATTGGTACATAGACCTATCGTTGGACGAAATCTCAGCTCGAAATATTGTCATTCGATTTTTTGGTATATACTGTGCCATAGGCTAAAAATCCAGTAAAATGCCTATAACTCTGGACAGAAGGCCTATGGGCACTTATCCTTTTGGGCCTTTTCATACCTCACTGGGGTCTATCTTTCACACTGAGTTCGAACTCAAAAGCGATTGGACAGTTGAAAAGGTTCCCTCGTAAGATAGGCCCTTTATATAATAAAGGAAAAGATGAAGATATGAACAAAAATTTTTAATAGCACATGTATTTTAGAGACAAATCCTTTCAAAAACATCTCTATAGACACTAAGTAATAATAAAATCAATGAATGTATTTTATGGGCGATAAATATTTTGTACAACGTTTAATATGACTAGGTTTACAAAAAAAATGTTCACGATATACATCATTTCTCCTTTTACCTCTCGATGGTTGCTGCAGAACTCATTCAATAGTTTAGCATGTCTTATCTGACAAGCTATTGAGAAATTTGTGATACGTATTTGATTCACTAGAACACATTTTCTTAATGTGTTCATTGTCAATATCTGTAAATTATAATTCTACAAATTGTTAAATTATGAATGATTTTAAAATCAATTATAGTAAAATCTCTCTAATGTGACCACCATTGAAACTGGTCAAAAGTGCTCAGTTTACAAAAGGTGTTCATCATTGCAGGGTTTTTAGTTGTTTTTTTTTTAAATGATAAAGACTCACTTACAATTGCTTTTCAGCTATATAAGATAATCTTTTTCTTCTTTTCAACAATTTATTAGTTCAAATAATCATATTATTTTTCTAAAATAATTATGAAATGGGCTTTGAAACAGGGTGTAAGTATTGATGTGACTGAGGATGTGGACCGAATATGAGTCTTCTCTTCTCCTACGTACACGTACACGTACACAGTCTTCGTCAGACACTGTTGTTACTGTCTCGTAATGCTTTTTTTTTCTTCTAAATACGCACGGTTAGTCCATTTCCTTTTATATGTTCCGTGATTATTTATTATAGCACAATACATATAACATTAGTTTTTGTCTTGTTCTATACTTGAATGACAGAACGTACGTGGCTCACATTATAGAAGTTATTATTACTTCTGGGACCAAAAATAAATGCTCACTGCTCAGAATGAGAAGATGCTCATATAAAAAGGTTTTACTGTAGTTTCATAGATGAATTTTTAAGTGAACTCAAAATTTTCTTAAATCGTCTCTGGATAATCATGAATAGAATATAGACATAACGAAACTTTTGAATATTGATTGCTTTAGTCACTATCTAAGGTAGAGAATATATTAATCTTTTCTTCTAGGAATACTCCAATATGATACTACGGAATTTTTCATAGAATTTCCTTTACTTTGAAATTAAAATTCAGATAAAAATTTCTATTTCATTTTCTAGTACAAGTATGGAAAATCGTGAAGAAAGAGTAAATGATGCCTATGAAGAAATAGAAAAAAATCTTAAATTACTTGGTGCTACAGGCATTGAAGATAAATTACAAGATGGTGTACCACAATGTATTGAACGATTATCACGTGCTGGTATTAAAATTTGGGTGTTAACAGGTGATAAAGTTGGTAAGTCAAAAAACAAAAAAAAACAATTCCTAAGAAGAAAAAAAAAATTGTTTTTTTTTTTGTTTCTTAAAATTAAGCAACTGCTTATAATATTGGTTTATCATGTCGTTTATTAACAAGTGATATGGAAATAAATTTTATTGAAGAAGAAGATGAAAATGAAGTTGAAAAAAAATTAGAAAAAGTTCGTAATGATATGATTGATAAAGTAGAACAATTATTTGCCGTTAAAATAACCGATAGAAGACAACGACTTGATTGGAAAGATTGGGGAATTGATGTAATGAAATTTGATCAGCATAGAAAAAATTATAATTATAATAATAGTGGACAAACACAAGATAAAAATGATCCTATATCATCACTACCAACAACAGAAAATGGTTCAAGTCCACAAGATCGTGAACAATTTGAAGGTTTTGGTTTATTAATAACAGGTCAAGCGTTAGTACATGCATTATCAGATAAATTAAAAATGAGATTTCTTGAACTTGGTACAATGTGTAAAGCTGTTGTTTGTTGTCGTGTAACGCCATTACAAAAAGCTCAAGTTGTTGAATTAGTTATGCAAAATGAAAAAAAAATTACATTAGCTATTGGTGATGGTGCTAATGATGTATCAATGATACAGAGTAAACCTAAAAAAAAAACATTGTTTGATTTTTTAAAATAAAGTAATGTTGTTGTTTTTTATTTTAGAAGCACATATTGGTGTTGGTATTAGTGGAGAAGAAGGTCGACAAGCTGTTTTAGCAAGTGATTTTTGTTTTGGACAATTTTGTTTTCTTGAAAGACTTTTACTTGTTCATGGACGTTGGTCATATTTAAGAATATCGAAATTTTTACGTTATTTTTTTTATAAAAATTTTGCATTTACACTTTGTCATTTTTGGTTTGGTTTTTTTTCGGGATTTTCAGCTCAGGTAAATTATTAATATAATATGAAAAGAATTCAAATTTTTATATGTTTATTTTTTTTCATAATAGACTATATATGATCCATTCTTTGTGGCAACATATAATGTTTTCTTCTCATCATTACCTGTTTTAGCATTAGGTGTTTTCGATCAGGTACGTCAATAATTATAAGTATACGATGATTATGGAATTTTTCTTTGGTTAAAATTGATTTATAGATAAACTATAAAAATAATTGCTGTGCTTGTTAGAAAAAAACAGCGAAGGTTCTAATCAATCTTTGTTGAACTTTATATGATGATAATTATGAGATGTCACCATTTGATTGAGATCAGAGATGTTCATCGCGGTTGAAAATTTGCCGCAAATAGTATTCAAAAAATTTTTCGAATTTTACAGCTATGATTGTACTGAACAAGAGGTATTTTTTTTAGATCCATCGAGTCTCACGAGGGAACCTTGTCACGTACTGAAAAGGTTGTCTGCAAGTAGAGGATATATAGACTAGAGAGAATCTAAGATGCTATGGGTGCAAATTGCGATTTAGCTGAGATATCAACCAGAGACCGAAACGGGACGGGGACGGGGCAAGGCAGAATGAAGTAGATTCCTGGAAAACTTTCTTGTTCTTCAGTTTCACATTCAAAATTCGTATATGCATTAAGGAAGAGTCGATGAAAGTCGGGGCGGGGTCGGGGAACCAAAAAAAATAAAGACCGGGGCGAGGCGGGGTCGGGTGGAGAAAGCTTTCGACGGAGCGGGGCAGGGTGTGAAAAATCCGCCCCGTCTCGGTCTCTGATACCAACATTTTACTATAATTTTTTTTCAGGGTTCTAGTTTTGCGCTAGAAGCAAAATTTCAGAATTTTCGAACGAATTATCTCCAATCTACTAGTTTGTTAGCGTAAAGACCCTTTTTTTATATTTTGGAAAAATTATATCTCGAAAATGATTGGTCCAAAGATTCTGAAACTTTGCGGGTAAACTCGTTTGATTGAAGTCTCGGTATGCGAAAAGCTTTAGATCAAAATTCGCAACTTTGATTCTACTCGAAAAGTGCAGTCCTGCAGGAAAAGTAGAGTAAAGTATGCCAGTGTGCTCAACCAAATCGCAACTTACCTCCATATCTTCTTAGGCTCTTTCTAGTCTATACATCTCCTACCTGTGAACAAAATTTCAACATCTGGGATGGGTGTACGTGTGGATATATTTTAGGTGATTGCCCACACCCATACCAATTCTTGACGAACAAGTAAAGTACTTTACATATAGCAAGAAGATTTGAAGATCAAATAAAGTATAGTAGAAACTAGAGAACCAGATTTCCCTACAAAACCATACGATACATATGTTCAATTCAGTATAGTCCAAAAATATTGTTTATTTTTTGGAATTTACTTTTCAGTAGGAATTAAGAGTACACAGCCGACTCGTATGAAATTCTTACCAGAGATAGAGCACCTAAAATAAGTATACATGTTATTTTTAGGAAAAAATTTTTAACAACGTTTTAGCATACCACCACATTAAACCTACTTACGACTCCCGTCTCTCTAACTTTATCTGAACAGATCAGGTTCGATAGTGTCCTATGGAAAAATTAGAGTTTCCAGAAAGAATTATGAAAATCTTATTTACAATTTTCTTTCTCAAATACTTATCTCCTTACTGTGAATGCCCTATTGTAGTGGAAATTCTGTATAGTTCAGTTGTATCCTCTTCAAGAACCAAAAAGAAGGCAGAGCAGTACCGTTACATGAAGTTTATGAATGTTATCAATACAATCGAAAAAATAATTATTTCTTTCGTTTTTTTTTTGTAGGATGTCAGTGCTGATCAATCAATGCGTAAACCACATTTGTATGTTATCTTTTCATTTGTTTTTTGATTAATAATTTTATCCTTGTTCAGATACGGTCCAGGTCAAAATAATGAATTTTTTAATAAAAAAATCTTTGCTGAAAGTGTTATACATGGAATTTTAACCTCATGTATAATATTTTTTGTTGCATATTTATCTGTATCAAATAGTACTCGTTCAAATGGAATAACACAAGCTGATTTACAATCATTTGCTTTTATGGTTGCAACAATAATGGTTATTGTTGTTAATTTAGAAAATGCACTTGAAACATGGTATTGGCCAAGTTTATATCATTTAGTTTTATGGGGTACAATAGTTGTACATTTTGTATTTCATTTTATATTATATTCACCATTTATAATTAAAATATTCAAAAGAAATTATCATTACGTTGGTGTAGCACAATCTGTTTTATCAAATGAACATTTTTGGTTTACATTATTACTTACATGTGCAATATTACTTTTACCTATATTTTGTCGAGAGTAAGTAATGTTTTTTTTGTTGTTCGTATAAAGTTAATTTTTTAATTAATTTTGTTTTTAGATTTTTTCGTATGCGTTTTATGCCAAATAAAACTGATCGTGCAAGATTAAATAGAAAATATCGTATGGACGAAAAAGCTGCATTTGTTGAACATATAAAACAAAGACTTGGTCGAGTTAAACGACCTATACTATCAGGTTATGCTTTTTCACAACAAGAAGGTTGGGGTCCATTGATTACATCGGGACGAATGCAATCAAAAGCAGCTTCTCGTCGAAGACCACCAGCACAAATTAATAATGTAAGTAAAACTACAAAAAAAAAAAAAACAAATTTTCTAATGATATATTTTTTTTTCACTCTTAACAATATATCTATGTATATTATTGACTTTATTATTCGATATGTATCTTGTCTAGTTAAAAAATAGAGTACATCCAATATTATTTAATGATATAACATCGAATAATGTATTAATTTCTACAACGAACAAGATAAAATCATCATTAGAAAAAGACAGAAATTTAATACAGTAGTGAGTAAAATTAAATATGAAAACAAACATATATACAGAGTGAGCTAGAATTTGCACACTTTAAACTAAATTTAGTCTTCTTACTTTTATTAATATGTATTCGACAACAATGGAACAAATATTATGTAGAGATTATTGCACTATCACTTCTTCTTGTTCTATTTTATCTACTTGATATAAATAATATTTTTAAGTAGATGATCTTGAAATACTACACATGTATCAAATCACTAAGTCACTTTTGTTTTTTAATATCTATTGAAGATTATTTATAAAATAACATCGATCAATTTTGAGTTGTTGTAATGATAGAAAGTTGATATATTTTTCATATTTACTGAACATTTGATTTCAAGTGATATTCGTCTTGAATAAAGAATCTAAATAATGACTTGAATAGAGAAAACGGTTTCCAACAAGGATCTCTAGAAAACATAAAACTTAATTTTTCATCATACAGAACTCGAAAATAAAAGTTTCGTTTGCTTACGCAAAGCAACTGATTCTCTAGAAAATAAGATCTCTTCATGACTTTTTTTGATTGAATTACATAAATTTTAAGAAAAGCTCAAAACTCCTTATTTTCATGTTCTGAATTCTGAAAAACTAGATTTCGAAGTTTTCTAGAGATCCTTGTTGGAAACGAAATTTATATGATCAACTTTTGGAGCCACTGTACATATCTATCATACGACTAATGTAGATGTTCTAAATAATGTATGGTTATATCCATATATAATCATGAAGATTTGATGAAGAAAAACAACACTTGTAATCAAATCTTAATTATCTTCTTTAATCTACACTTAACATTCTATTTTGCTTATCTAATATTTTGCATGTTTCTTTTTAACATTAATATTACTGTTAGTTTGAAATATTTAATGTATCAACAAATGAAAATGGTTTAAGTATATTTATATTTTCAATTGAATCTAATCTAAGATGGGAATTTATTGACATAATAAACTGTAGTAAATTGATTTTTATAGATGGTTAAAATTATTTGATCTATGTGATTTATGGAAAAAATTCTTTGTCGTTTTTGTTTTTTTGAAAATTAAACCATCTATTCTCTTCTTTTTTCTGATTTGAATATTTATGAATTGCGTATGAAAATTTTGGATTGCTTTAGATAAATTCACCGACAACAACTGACAATGATTTATCTCAAATACAAGATTCAACTGATGATCATCTATTGAAAAATGAAAAAGATTCCTCAGAGACAACAATACCAAGTAAATTTGTACCCAATGTTGAACCAACGAATAGGAAACCATCAACTAATGCAACCAAAGAAACTGATCCTTTATTATCATCTATTAATAACAAGCCATGACACTCAAATATATAGTGTATATTTTCAATGATCTTACTTTTTATGTATATATTAGACTAGAAATAAATATGTACATATTTATATATTCAAGCAAAACGAATTATGTTTTTTATAATCATTTATTATATATGCTATTCGTATTTTATTCTTATTATATTCTCGCCGGTGTGTTGTTTCGTTATTATTTGATTTAGTTTTTTCTAAGTCAATGGAAAAAGAAAAACATCGATAAAGTATAAATTACATTTTAGTATGAATGAATATCATGTGTGTTTTTTTTGTTACATTTAATCTATTATATTGTTTGTGTTATTATTATGGGACATTTTATATTTGGTTTGAACTCGATTTTATTATCGAGAGTGCAAAAAAATAATAATAAAAAAAAAGAAACTTTCCGAAGAAATATTCAATAAAAAAGAATATTTTCTTACGTAAGTTTACTTTTATCTTGCTAGATTTGCATATATATTTACTCAAGCATTTTGCATGTTTGATAAGAATATTACTAATTGTTATATATTTACATAAAATGATCTTTCTTTATTATATTTTAGCATTTCGAAATGGAAAAAAAAGTCCTTTTTTATCATCAGGTCAATTTCAATATAGTCCAATATTTAACTTTGTCCAAATATTTATTGTTGTTTCCTTTTTATTGTTATTTGTTATGAAATCTTTATTGTTTGTATAATTTATTTGATGAATAAAAATCTTCATAAATAAATATTTGAAAAAGATAAATACAGATAATTATTTTTATTTGTTGTTTTTTTTTTTTTTTTTGTAATTTAGAAATAATGCCGAGAGGAAATCGGCCAAAACCTTCTACTAAATTAATTTCTGAACAAATTTTAAAAGAGTAAGTCGATTTAGTCTTTTTCTTAAATGTATTTAATAATATTTGATATTTTAGAATTAAATCATTTCGTCCTTTACGTTTATTTATTAACAAACAAAAACGAAAAGGAAATGTAGTATGTATAGAAATCATTATAAAATCAGTGGCGGATCCAGAGAAAGAGGCGAGAATGGCTTTCCTCTTTGAACTTTATATATGCTGTATCCTAATTATCTTTGCATTCCTATGTGGTTCACAGAGACAAATAGTGTGTATTTTCCACTCTTGTAAAGGTTATAGTGCTTGTATTCTGAAATGAACGATTCCAGAAAAGGACAACAACTTGTAGATATGTAAGTTCTACCTAGTGTTATTACTTCTATCAAATACTGTTTCTCTTGTTGAATATGATTTCTATTTCTGTCACACAGTAGATGAGCGTTTGTAAATTTTAACATTGAAATTCATGTTAACAGTTCATTTGTGTTCTTGCTGTTGATGATGAATGAGTATGAGATTCAGTAAAAAATATCTACGTAATTCATGTTTTGGATCATGTTCGATGAAGTGGTATATCTTCTTTTCGAATATCTAAGTTTCTTTTCAGATTTATGCGATTGAGTATCTCATCACTAAAAACAAGATCGCTGAATGCTTTTCGATCATCTATGTTCGTGAGTTTCGTTTCGGCGATCACATTCATTACGTTCAATCCTTCTGAATATTTATCATATAGATATACTGCAGGTATCATCACAGGATATTGTTGATAGATTCGAAGATTAAAATGAAGAGCTTACTCATAACACCAGCCAGAGACGAACAAATCTTTTTCGACATTAAAACTGATAAAATCATATCTTCAAAGTACTACTCATGAAAATCGTCTGAATAGACAAGCTATGGTGTATGTGCATTCTATGACTGACACTGATATCGAATAAATCATCAACGACTTCTCAAAAATGAAAAACTAGAATATCTTGTATGATTTGTTTCTTAGTTGTTTTGACTTTCATAGATCACAGTATAAGTCTGAATAGTTGATAATAGAAAATATTAGAAAAATTATTACGAAAACGGTCAATAACCATCAGCCGCCTCTTTCAAAATTTTCTGGATCCGCCCCGAATATGTTTTATTTTTGTATGAAATCATGTTTTTTTTGTTTTTGTTCATAGGATAATCCATTTACTTTACGAGTTAAATTTTGTCAATTACCACCAGATAAACAAGCTAGATATTTACAAAAATCAGTCGATAAATATATTCAATTACTTGTAAATTATAAATAAAATTTATTTATTTTTCAAATATATTTAATATAATCTATAGGACGAAAACGATATTGATGAGCATGTACAAACAGAATGTAAATTGTTCGATTATTTATTAATAAAAAGTGAACAAAAGAAATATTTTCAATCAATTAATGCTCCAACAAAACCACCAGGGTAAAGACAATAAAACAAAACAACAAATATCGTTGAGTTTTTTTTTTTTTGAAATCAATTATTTCTATTTATTTTAGAACAGCAGTACCTTATTATACTCAACTTGTAAAACAAGAAAATGACGATGATGATAGTGAACCAGCATGGAAATCATTGAGTGTAAATGAAAAACAAAATTACAAAAAGATGAGAAAAGAAGTGAGTAATTGTTTCTTTGAATAACCGAAAGAAAACAGAAAACAAACAAATTCTATATATTCACAAATAGTTTCCATACCTTGTTTGGATGTAGAAAAACGTAGTATGTCCTTATGTCTGACGGTCAATTGGGATCCACCTGAAAGATACTATGGACGTTTACGATTGAACAAAAGAAAATAATTAGTGATAGACTTCGTATGAATTGTGATAGAGATCGAAGGATTAGTGCCATACTGCATCAGTATGTTCAACAGAAACGTCAACATGAAATGTAATATCCTCACTAGGAATGCACCAATTGTGATTTCAATTTTTGGCTTGGAATTGGTTGAAAGTAGTCTCGAAAAACTTCGGAATCAAATAATTAATTCAGATAGATATGCGCAAAATTAGAAATTCTACAACAACCAATTTTGATCAATTCCAAAAAAAAAAAGATCCGTATTGATGTATCCCTATTTCTTACAGGTAAACGATCTGCGAGTAGTAATTGAAATTTTCTTAAATCGAGTTAACTCTCACAATGGAATATTAAGGTCGATGAAAAAGCCTCTTTAATTATGATCTAAATAAATTTAAAAAAAAAACAAAAAGCATCAAATTCTATAGTTTATTTCCATCTATCAGTTAGTTTCTTATGAGAAAACTACACGAAGGATCGGGACCAAAAAACTTGGTCCCACACATCTTTAGTACGAACTCTTTTAGGATTTTTTTAGTCTTATTGAGACCTTCCTGTAGCTCCAATATGAGTTCAAACGGAGGAGCACAAGTTGGTCGTTACTCCGATTTTGATGTTCAATTTTTTTAATGATGTATGATATTATTCTTTTTTATAGGCTAAAACTGAATATTTAGCTCAAGTAAGAAATTTTGCTAATGATTTACCAGAACGTCTTCGAACGGATTATTTATTATTTGTTGAACAATCACCAAATAAACGTCAATCAATTGATACATCCTATGTTAACAATCATGATGATACGATTACTTCGAGATCTATTCGTCAACGTCGTAAATCTTTAACATCTTTACCTGATAGTTTACAACCGACAATACCAATAAATGATAGTCAACAAAAATTAACCAAAGCTCAACTTCATGCATTACATAAATGTATGCCAAATATTCTTTATTATGAAACAAATATTTCCGATAAAGATAAACCAACATTTACAAAAGCTATGACACAAAATGCTTATATGAAATCAATATTTAATCAATTAGATGAAAATGAAAAATTAAAATATATATTAAAATCAATTAAAAAATGGAATGAATTTCTTGAATTTAATCCAAATATAATTGAAAATCAAATAGCAACATTACATTTATTATTATATAAAAATGAAGATATTATTTTATATTTTACTTCAATTGGTTTACCACAACGTCCACCAATAAATAGTTATCTTTTATATAATCAAGAAAAAGAAGAAACAGGTTCACAACAATCTTGGACTGATTTATCTCAAATACAACGAACTGAATATTCTCAACAATTAATTGAATTAAAAAATCAATATTATGAAAAACTTGTCGAATTTGTTGATCAAAATTTACCATCTGATTATATACGATATGAATTTTTTCGTAATGTTAAATATGCAGTAAAAGATTATGAATTAGCTTCAAAAAGTGAAATAATTGATAAAACTACTGGACGATTTAAACTTATTGAATCTCATTTACAAAAAATGATTAAGACTAATGATATGAATCAATTCAATCAAATAAAACAAAAATTATTATCAACACAATTAACAAATGAACAAAAACATCTTGTAGAAGAACTTACTCAATTATTATATAAATATATACAATAATAAATAACAAAATAAAACCTTATTTGCTTTTACATTTTTTTTTTTTATTTTCAAAATTTTTCTTAGTGCAAATATCATCTCTTCTGAAAAAAAAACAGACAGAAACTTCTAGAGTCACAACTAGATCATGAATATATATATATATATACTCATTGTTTTTCTTTTTTTTTTCTTCTTACTTATTCGATGATCGATTGTATCTTGTTACTCATTACTATGCAAAAAAAATGTATCATTGATAAATCATATGAATCATTCTTAGCCTAGAAATAAAACACTAAAAACTCATATCGATGTAATTTATTTAGTCAACCTGTTTTGCATAACACAGGATCTTCCTGTGTCTAGTCTGTAGAACGATCGTTTCATTGCTTTTTTTACTAAGGATATTAAACTCGTCTGTATATGAAGTACGATGTCAAATATCATAGATCCTCTATTGATACAAAAATCATCTTTTCCAATAGGAATAAAATGAAAAATAAAAAGATGTAAGATTCAAAATGTAAGCAATATAAATAGATGGACAACGAGAAAGAATAAGTTTTCTTTTTTATTTCTTTTTCTTGAATTTTCCTTAAGAACGAATAAATAATATTGTCAATTGGACTTGGTGACAAAACCTGTCCATCTTTGAGTAGAATTCCACTGCTAGACTAGAACTCCATTGGATCACGATCAATTAGATAACTTAGATGTTTTGCATCTCAATAAAGGATTGCTCTTTTTCTGCATGCGTAGAACAAAATTGGTTATCCGCAGAGCATGCATCCTATGGTATTCTTTTAGTAGAGAAAGAGTAGGAAAATTATTTTTCCGTTCTAATATATCTAGAATAATCCGCAAAAGTTAGGAATGTACTCACTGTATAAAAATCAACGGTTTTATTGTTTAATAATAAATAGCAGAATTTCGAATAAAGTTATGATGATAAATATCGATAGCCGTAATCATCGGTCTGGATAATTATGACTATGTACTGAAATAATGAAAAACCAAAAAAAGCGATCATAGATAAAAAAAAAGTGCTATTTTGTGATTTCAAAACAAAAGTCATGCTGCTGATACAAACTCCTCAAGATTGATTTGTCAAAAACCTTGAGATGCTGAGACTTTTAATCCGTAAAAGTGTTAGCTCGGCTGACGAGGATTCTGGCAAGTGTGGAAGATTTCTATTGAAACTACCTATGTTGCACGTTTGTCCGCACTATCACCGGTATACCGGCAGTAGATTATCGATCGGAGAACAACTATCGATATATTGCAGTAGAATGGTGGTCAGAAAATAGCCGATCATTTAAGTATCAAACTACCTGCGACTTTTACCCGATTCGAATCATATGGAAATATTTGTCTAGATGTTAATTAATATTGCATTATTTATGTCAATATAACAATCAAATGCACATATCGAACTAATCCTATTGATTTATATTGATCACGAAAAAAAAACAAACTTGACATATATTACCATGATTTTGATCAATCAATTACAAATAATTCAAATGATTTTATACAGAATTTCTGTTGATTGATTTTTCTTTTCTTTAGAGATTTAGAAAAATATAATACAGTAATCTGTCTCCTATATATATTCATGATTATCTTTACATCAATACAAGCAATTCTGAACATCACCTGCAATGTTTATTACTTGATTTCACATTTCATCTGTCAAAAAGATCACAATGAACATCAATAACTGTTCATTAGTGACCTCTATTGTTTACTATTTCTAACAGCTAAATAAAGAATCCATTAATTGACTACAATACATAAATGTATAAATGAATGAATGAATAAATAAATTTAATATAAGATAAATAGAAACCTTGAATTTATATTTTGCAAAAACAAAAATAAAAATACAAACTATATTCAATTTATTCTAAGTAGGAAAAGATGGCCTTCTGGCGTAGTGGTTCACTTTTTTCATCTTCAACATCTTCGACACCAGCACATAATAACACAATCGCTCAAGAAACAGTAAGATACAACAACAAAAAAATTTTTATCTTTTCATATATTTATAGATTGAACGTCTTTGTGATCGTTTACAATCAGCAACACGTAGTGAAGATCGACGAGATGCTGTACGTGGTCTTAAAGCACTTTCAAAAGTAAGAAAACAAATTTGTTCAAGTTTCAAATATATATATATATATATTTATTTATTTATTTATTTGAAATACATAGAAATGTAAACTTGAAGTTGGTACTCAAAGTATGACATTATTAGCAAATATTTTACGAGGTGATCGAACTGATTTGGATCTTATTCAATTGGTACTTGAAGCATTATCTAATATAGTAACATATGAAGCAGGCAATGATGATGGTAGGTACATTATCATTTTTTGTTGATGAATATTTTCCATAACTTTATTTATTATGTAGAACAAACAAATCTACCACAAGATATTACCGTTCAATTTACAGGTATAAAGTTTTTTATTTTTATCTAAAAAAAATATAATATAGAAAATATGTTGTTTTTCGTTTTAGAATTGTATATCAAGAATAAAGAACATGTTCATGCAGCTCTTGAACTTATTGAAGTTTGTATTGTAATCAAAAAATTGTTTTTGTATTAAAAAGATAATTCTAGGAAACGGATTTTAATGTTCGTCGTAGTGCTATTCGATTTCTTTCTGCACTACTTACAAATTGTACGAAAGAATTACAAGATATTATTTTAGAAAGTGGACCTATGGGTGTTTCAAAATTAGTTGATCTTTTACAAGACGAACGTGAAGTTATTCGAAATGATGTAAATTTCATGTGTTTTTTTTTAGTTCTCTATATACACAAAGTTTCAGATTAAAATACGAGTTTTTCGAAAGTCGGGGGCTCCTAGAAAAAACTTCGTAGCTTAGTCAAATATCAATAGAAACCGAGATTCTTTTAGAGTTTTGATAGTATCTATACGTAAAAAGAAAAATCATTGAAATCGAAAGAGGATAACTGAAGAGATTCTCTCGTAAGTTTTTTCGTTATTGTATTCTTAGGCACTTCTTCTTTTACAAATACTAACACGTTCGAATGCAAATATACAAAAAATAGTGGCATTTGAAAATGGTTTCGAACGTTTATTTGAAATATTGGTCAGTGAAGGTGGTAGTGATGGAGGTAAATTTAATAGACATTTTTTTTTTGTTTTTGTTTGAAAGACAAAAGAAAGATTATACTCTTATAAATAGTTGTTACTGTCGAAGATTGCTTATCGGTTTTATTAAATCTATTACAAAATAATGCTTCAAATCAAAGTTATTTTCGTGAAGGTTCATATATTCGACGTTTAGTTGGTTTTTTTGAACTTAATTCAATTGGTGAACGACGTTGGTCAGCACAAAAAGTAACAAATGTTCATCTTTTATTACAAGTAATATATTAAAATAAAACAAAAGAAAAATCAATTATTATTCTAATTATGATCATAATATAGTTGTTTGTTTTTTTTTTATTTCTATAAAGATAATTCGAACACTTGTTTCACCAACAAATTCTACTCAAAATATTCTTGCATGTCAACGTACAGTTAGTCAATGTGGTAAGATTTATATAATTAAAATAATTGTTGGATTTTTATAATTCTTTTTTTTTAAATAAAATAAAGGTTTATTACATCGCTTATGTGTCATGCTTACACTTACAACAATTCCTGCTGATGTTTTAGCTGAAGTAAAATTGAATTTCTTTATCAAAACTAATATACATTACAATATTTATAGACTATTAATACAATTGGTGATGTTGTTCGTGGTAATACAGAAAATCAACAATTTCTTGGTTCTGTTATGAATGCAACTGGTGAAATTCAACAGTAAGTCAAGTATCAAATAAGACTATTTTAGTATAGTAATAAAAGAGAAATTTTTTGTATTTTCTAGACCTGTACTATTTAATCTTTTATATACAATGGTTGTTGGTGAAAAACAATCATTTCCACTTCGAATATCAATTCTTTATTGTCTTCAATGTTATCTATATAAAAATGATTTTGGAAAATCTATAATTGTTCAAACATTATTACCTCAAACTGAAAATGGTTAGTTCTTTATTTGAAAAAAAATATATATATTTATGAAAACAAAAAAAATCTTTTTGTTTCTTTAAGCTGCTAATCAATATACCTTGGGTCATTTATTAATAATTGGCTATTTAAGTAAAGATGTTGTTGCATCATGGTGTTCGGGTATTGCACTTGCACATTTAATTGCTGATAGTCAACAATTTAAAGAAGCAATACTTAAAGTTGTATTAGCAGTTGATCAAGCACAAGCAGGAGCTAAAACATTAATGGAAATCTCAATTGATTTATTACAAAATGTAAATAATTCTTGTGAATTATGTGTATATATGTTTTATTTTTCCTATTAATAGTCATCATCTTCATTTCACACTCGTATTGCTGTACTTATATTTATATGTACATGGTTATCAAATTGTTCATTAGCCGTACAAACATTTCTTTCAATTCAAAATAGTATTTCATATGTATATATTAAATTTCTTTTTTATCAATAATAATAATAATAATAATAATAATAATAAATTTTTGCTTCAGCTTATTTCACAAATATGTGCTCAATCAATTGCCGATGATCGTGAAATTCTTATTCAATCTTTATGTTCATTTGCATTAGGTTTATGTTTAGTTTTTAATAATAATCAAATACCATCATATACAACGTAAAATAAGAAGAATAATAAAAAAATTTAAAAAGACAAAAAAAAAAATCATTCTTCCCTTCTAGTGAATCTCTTGAACGATTAATAAATAAACGTATTGGTATTGATTTATTTCAAGAAAAACTTGAAACACTTTCAAAATCAGAATGTTATACAAAAACATTACAAAAACCACAATTAAAATTATCAAAAACAAATGATATGATACTTGATTATGAATTTGCTCGTTTATATAAAACATATGAAAGTTCAATAACACGTATGTTAACAACACGTCATATGAATTCAAATGAAAAATCATTTATTGA